ACCAGTTCATGTTATGTGATAGCCTGGTACTCCTACGTGAATTTAGGCTGTCGATGTGCATTCTGTTTAAAAGCACTTTGTTAACTAATCCCTGCTTTTGTTTGACGAAAGGTTGTAAAAATAGCCAGATCTGGCTATAAAAAAATTGTTGGACTGTCAACACTGTCTGCTACGCAGCTGACTCGTCGGCACTTTGCCAAATGTAAAATGTTGTGCGTTTCTTGTATTTTTTGGCAACCGTTTAGAAAGCGCCGCCGAAAACCTCGAAAGGGGTAAATGAAAAACAATTGGCCATATATGCATTTTCGGGCATGGTGAAACGAAACAAAAAGTGTTTTCCAATGAGTGCGATTCCTACAACACTTCCTCTTATGCAACACGGCATTGAATTCTTAGCACTGATAAGCGTCGATCTCTCGCTCTTTGTCTGCCCACACCCCCAGCCGCCCTCTCTCTTTCGCACACGTGCTGTTGCCAACCGCTTGATGGAGCTCTCGCATTTCGCACACTTGGCGAGAGCTCTCTCTCTCTCGGCCTCGCTCAACTGTTGCTGAACTTGACGACGACGTTGACGACGTCGACGTCGCCGCCAACGCAGGCAGCACAGGCTAGCTCGCTGATTTCGGCGAACAGAACTTTCACAAGCGATTCAGTGGCCGTCCGGTTCAGACTTTCTGACTTCCAAGGAACAAGGATAATTTTTTTTCGGTTTTGTGCTGTGATATAAAACACATACAAATAGTACGTATGGCCAACCAATTGGGAATCAATTAAGTCAATAATGCAAATGGATTCATCATCCCACTCAAACAAAAGCGAAGTAAACGCGTGTGACTCTTTCTTTTTTTTTTCTGAAAGCAAGCCAGAGCAATGCAATTTGCCTGGTTATGTAAAGCAAAAAGAGTTGAACTTGAATAATTTTTGTTCTGGTGTGTGGTGCTGGTTTTCTTATGAAATCAATAACAATGAATTAGAAACAAACTTAACCCTGGATTCGGATACTACTCAGCCTTCGATGGGAGCTTTCCACGTGCAGCTGTAGAATTTTTCCAGCTGAGGCTATTACATCACGAGGTCTTCTCTCTTTTGCCGAAAAGTTCGCTCTCTTCCAGTCAATCGAAAAGTCTAACCCGATTAGATAACGGTTGTTTGGCAGAGCAGGGCCAAAGAGAGACGCTGTTCTCTTTGCCAAGTGTTACATAAACCTTTGTCAATGAAATGCTAATTTAATTTCGCTGAATTTTATTGAAACAGACACAAGGCACAAGAAGAGCGCCTGCTCTTGAAAATCTAAAATTATCGAAACTTCAATGGCGAATAATGCCAGCTGCCAAAAAAGTGTGGCCTCTATAGCCATCTTGCTCGCACCCAAGCCAATGCCCATATGCTGGCATTTCCATTGAACTTTTTCAATTCTATTCTCTTTTTTTTTTTTGTGGTGTGGCAATTATGCAATCCCAAACATTACTCAATGAAAACCAGTAAAAGGTCGTTTTAATCGACTAGAACTGCAAATGTTTTATGCGATTCCAAAGCAAATAATTTGGATAAACCATGTATGCCACGTAACGCATTTTCCCAACCCAAAGTTATTAATACAACTTTAGTATTTAACTACAAATGGGTTAAAACTGAATTTAATTTTTCAACAATATTAATTTACTTCGCTTGCTTTAAACCACGTGGCACGTTTACCCGACCAATATACTTTTTCTCTTTTTTTGCGCAAACCAGTTTTGCCGGCGACTGCTAACACACATACCAATACGATGATTTATATATGTTTATTTGTTGTAACAAAAGTACTTAGAACCTTATATCATCAATATCATCAAATATTAACCACATTTAGCTTTAAGTTTCACTGCCTTTTTATACTAATAAACAATATACTGCATGTTTAACATTTTCGCGTTATTTAAGTTTTCATTTATCGCTAAAACATTTTATCGTACACCCATTTTCATTTAACCAAGTAGTGTCGGTCCAAGAAAGTGCATGTTTTGTGTATCGCATCCCCACATATCATTTTGAACATTGACAATTTTCACATTTTCATTTGGCTTTGGGCTATTCTTCTATTGTGCCTTTTGCACCTGTGTAAAGAAAGTGAATCGTACATCCACCATACAATATCGTAAACCGTATACCGTATACCGTAAATCGTAACATTATGCAACGCATGGGGAGCGGTTCCTGCCTCCCAACCGTATATCAAGCACCACCTGCATGCCGTGGGGATATCATCCATAACATCACAGAAGCATCACCGTCATCGGTATGGGTATTATCCATCAATATCATCCAACGATGGCGAATGAGGAGAGCGAGATTAATTGAGGTTTTCGGGCAATTGCGCAATTTACAGCAAAATGGGCAAGGATTTCGATGCTGTTGGATTCGTCAAGGACTTCGCTGCCGGAGGCATCTCCGCAGCTGTCTCGAAGACTGCCGTCGCCCCCATTGAGCGTGTGAAGCTGCTCCTGCAGGTTCAGCACATCTCGAAACAAATCAGCCCCGACAAGCAGTACAAGGGCATGGTTGATTGCTTTATCCGCATTCCAAAGGAGCAGGGATTCACGTCGTTCTGGCGCGGTAACTTGGCCAACGTCATCAGATACTTCCCGACCCAGGCTCTGAACTTTGCCTTCAAGGACAAGTACAAGCAGGTGAGTTATCCCACCCACCCATTACGCCTCCCAGGCGCAAGCCAAAGAAAGTCTGATAATAACGCACGCTTGTGATGTACAGGTCTTCCTGGGAGGTGTTGACAAGAACACCCAGTTCTGGCGCTACTTCGCCGGTAACTTGGCCTCCGGTGGTGCCGCTGGTGCCACTTCTCTGTGCTTTGTCTACCCCTTGGACTTTGCCCGTACTCGGTAAGTTTGCAAAATACATCAAGATATCATGATCAGAGAATAACAAAAACTCTTCCGAACGAAAAAAAAAAAAAACAAACAGCTTGGCTGCTGATACTGGCAAGGGTGGTCAGCGTGAATTCACCGGTCTGGGCAACTGCTTGACCAAGATCTTCAAGAGCGACGGCATCGTTGGATTGTACCGCGGCTTCGGAGTGTCCGTGCAGGGCATCATCATCTACCGTGCCGCCTACTTCGGCTTCTACGATACTGCCCGCGGCATGCTGCCCGACCCCAAGAACACACCCATCTACATCAGCTGGGCCATCGCCCAGGTGGTGACAACCGTCGCTGGCATCGTGTCCTATCCCTTCGATACCGTGCGTCGTCGCATGATGATGCAGTCGGGTCGCAAGGCCACCGAGATCATCTACAAGAACACACTGCACTGCTGGGCCACCATCGCCAAGCAGGAGGGCAGCGGTGCCTTCTTCAAGGGCGCCTTCTCCAACGTTCTCAGAGGCACTGGCGGTGCTTTCGTGCTTGTGTTGTACGATGAGATCAAGAAGTTCTTGTAAATTAAATTATTAAATTATTCAACCAGCAAAATACAACAACAACATACAACAACAAAACAAAAACAAACAAGAAAACTAAACACTACCAGCTAATTATGTTAGATAACTGAATGAGAACAGCTAAAGCAACAGCAACAGCAAAGCAAAGTTTTGATCTGCAACCAACACCTCTTACCAAGAAAAAACGGCAAGCAATAACAACCCTTCCTCCCTCCCCCTGATATAATTACGAAATTATATTAATTATAATAACTGGGAACTAATTTACGGAACGATGGCCAGAGTCAATAGAACAACAATATGCAACAGCAATGCTAGGAGGACCGGAGACGACTCGGCTCATGAGCGAAGACCCGCTACACTGAAAGACGAACGAACATAGCGACGATATTGATTAGTATTGTTAAGTTTGGGTTAGGCTATTCACTATATCCCATCATGCTGCTGGGTCGCCCCACAACTCCTCAGCCAAATCAGTGTTACCGATAAGATGCAAAGAATCGATCGAAGACCTGTAGATTCTTTCGCCTCCGACACGACAAACAAACTCAACTTCGGTTGGTTTAAAAATATATAAAAATTGATAAAAATAGTACAATGTTGTGTGTTTTCTTTCGCCGCCGTGTATGCTATTGTTTCATTCGATGTTCGCTTTATTCAACGGGCTTAGTTGCACCAGAGAGTCGTGTTTCTCTGTCGTAAACCTTCACGAAAAATGTGCGAAATGGTATTTCAAATTTGTACATTTTAGTAGCATACTTAATTGGCTTTTATGCTGCTATAAAATTGGCCTAAAATGTTAACTATAGGTTGCCTATGTTTAGTTATTGAAAATTTAGTCGCGAATAATCCCCATTGATATGTAACAATAATTAAAAGCAAAGCGGGGTTTAAAGTTTTAGCTCTTCACTTAAACAAAATTTAGTGTTTTGGCAGCGAAAATTAAAGTATATTTCTTAGATTTTTACAATTTTACTCTTTGATCGAGCCTAAAAGCTCACCTATAAATTTTCTTCAAATGCAATGCGTGCAAACAGAATACTAAGGAAAAGTTCTACCAATATAGAATTGTATTTCTAGATTATTTAAATCTCAGATGATTTGCTTTTAGTAAATACTCAGCGATGATTTCAATACTTCTTATATTTGAATAGAATTTTTATATTCATATTTAAAGAGTAAGAAAACCATAAAATTAGCAGTTGTAAATATTTTCGATTTTTTTGATAAGTCAGCTTTTACAACATTTTTATGTTTACTAAAAAGTATTGGGGAAAAAAAACTATAATTTCTTTTTCGGGAAGCCAAATTAGATATATAGCGTTTGTATTTCTTTACCAAATTCAGTTTTAAAATAAGGAAATGTGAATAAATCTGTTTATTAAGAACATGATTGCAATCAATTAAAAATTTTGTAGAATCCCTTGTCTTTGTTGAGGAACCTTCCGAATTCACATTACAAAAAGTTTTTGGACAAGGTCAGAGTGAAACCTTTTCTCTTAAATGGAAAAATCGGAAACGACGTTGGCCAAGCCAATGCCTTCGAATGGAATTGAAGGCAGTGGGGTCAGAACTTCGTATGCCCATACTAGTTCAGATCTCGGTCGTTGTTGAATCAAAATTATAAATTGTAAAAAGTGTAAATCGGCTTTTATTCTTTTTTACCCACAAAGATTTGAAGACTAACAATATCGTTTTAAAAAACAAGCAAACAGTAAACCAACATGGGCGATGAAGGCGGTGGCGGTGGTGGCGGGAAGGGCGACCTCAAGTCCTTCCTCATGGACTTCATGATGGGCGGTGTGTCGGCGGCGATTGCCAAGACGGCGGTGGCGCCCATCGAGCGGGTGAAGCTCATCCTGCAGGTGCAGGAGGTGTCCAAGCAGATAGCGGCGGACCAGCGATACAAGGGCATCGTCGACTGCTTCATCCGCATTCCCAAGGAGCAGGGATTCTCGTCGTTCTGGCGCGGCAACTTGGCCAACGTGATTCGCTACTTTCCCACGCAGGCCCTCAACTTCGCCTTCAAGGATGTCTACAAAACGGTGAGTGGAACTGGATGGAGTAATCTCTTAACTGCTATAACTAAAGCACATAATTCCCGTAGGTGTTCCTCGGTGGCGTGGACAAGCACAAGCAGTTTTGGCGTCACTTTGCCGGTAATTTGGCCTCTGGCGGTGCGGCAGGTGCCACATCTCTGTGCTTCGTTTATCCGCTGGATTTTGCCAGAACCCGGTGAGTTTTTCCTTTTAAATGTAATGCATTAGAGTCGATTAACTAAGCTACGAATATGTAAATTAATTCAAGCCTACTTTCTGCAAATACTCAACTGTCAAATCCACTTTGCGATTAATTATAGTTTATTTACTCGGGAACTGCACAACTGTCATGTTTAATATATCGCATAATTGCATTCTTATCTGATAACCATATGGCGAATATTGCGTCTGGTAACCGCAAATAATTTCTCCATATATTTTACATGATGATCATTATTTATTCATACATTGAGTAATTATTTTTCCTCAACAATTAATTGTGTAATTATAGATCATTTGTAATTTAAGTAATCACTTAAATTTTAATTAGGATTTCAGAAAAATTTGTCAAGCTCAGTATGTATAAAACATAGAAAAGATTTTAAGCTAATAATTTCCAATATAAGATACAATCAGACAATAACTCAACTGACAATAAGAATTATGTGATGGATATATCATTTAATCTTTTAATTTATTTTTATTGATTTTTAAATAAAATGGATAATAATAAACATTCGAGTCGAATGAAAACAGGATTGCTGAATACTTACTTTGCTTTAATGGCCAATTAAATACTTCCAATGACCAATCCACTCATTGTTTAAACCATAAAGGTGAAATCGCGTATGCTTTAAACATAAAATATTGCATAGCTACTGATATACTGATCCCTTCGACGCTTTCTTTTGACAGTCTGGCCGCCGACGTGGGCAAGGGCGGCAACCGGGAGTTCAACGGCCTGATCGACTGCCTGATGAAGGTGATCAAGAGTGACGGACCCATCGGGCTGTACCGCGGCTTCATCGTGTCGGTGCAGGGCATCATCATCTATCGCGCCGCGTACTTCGGATTCTACGACACGTGCCGCGACTATCTGCCGAATCCGAAGAGCACGCCCTTCTACGTGAGCTGGGCGATTGCCCAGGTGGTGACCACCGTGGCCGGCATTGCGTCCTATCCCTTCGACACGGTGCGCCGTCGCATGATGATGCAGTCCGGCCTGAAGAAGTCCGAGATGGTCTACAAGAACACGGCTCACTGCTGGATGGTGATTGCCAAGCAGGAGGGCGTCGGCGCCTTCTTCAAGGGCGCCCTCTCCAACATAATCCGTGGCACGGGCGGCGCCTTGGTGCTCGCCATTTACGACGAGATGAAGAAGTACTTTTAGATGCCCGTTGCCCGGCCGATTAGAGGAGCAGTGGCAGTTGCAGTTGCAGCACCAGCTGCACCACACAGAACACGGCGAGAACCCTCCGTCATCAGCACACCGATCTCATCCCTTTTGCAGTGAAGGACTGCGGGGAAACAACCAACCCGATTAACCGCATGACGGCTGCCCTTCATCTCGAGTTGTGTTCGCAGCGGTTGAGAAAATACAAATAATTTATTGAACTTAAATCTTTGTTGCGCTCTTGTTTTGTTTCGTTTCCATCGCGTGGTTTGTTTTTGGTGCCTGTGTCTATTCGCCAAGGTGGGTCGCTTTCCACATTTCTCCTAGCACATTTAATTTTAATTTTAAAAGGTCAAACTCTTTTCTTTTTTCAATCAATGTAAAGCTTTTAAAAGTTTTTACCAATAACGAACCAAAAAAAGTTATATAAAATATTGTTAAGCCTAATAAGACCTACAATAGTTCAATAGATTGCCGAAAATTGTAACTAGCCATCCCAAGATTTGAAAATGAAATTGTGTTTTATGAAAATGCTTAGATTCTTTGGAGCGCCCACCCAAGTCATTTCGCAGATGTGTTCGTGTGCTGGTGGGTTTTAACTTAACTGTTAGTTAGGCATTAAAATAACATTAAGAACACATCAAGTCGAGAAAGGCTCTGCTTTCCATTGAGCTGACCGATTTGTTCTCGATATGTCCTCGCATAAATTAACAAAAAAAGACAAACAAAAACACGTTGACGAAGAAAAAAAAGAGGCGAAGTTACAAGTACGCGAACTGCACTTATTCGGTAAACATTTAGAAATAATTCTACGCTAAGATCCAGCAGTGAGTTCTCGGTGGACTTAGTGGGTGGCCCCGGACCTGTGGGCGAGGAACAGGAAGTACGTGCCCGCCGCGTAGGCCAGGAAATTGAACAGTCCGAAGACTCCGGCCGCCGTATACGAGCCGGCTCCCTTGCCCGTGGCATCCGACCACCTGGCCAGCTGGACAATGAATCCGATGAAGTACAGCAGGGTCAGCACGGCGGTGGTGATCAGTTCCTGTTTTCGGTTCGGGAAGAGTTGAATGGTTAGCACGAGTATATTCTGCAGATCCATAACTATGGTTCACTATGATCACTCACCGAGAAGATCCAGTTGACGGCCACGTTGAGGGCCTCGCGAATGCCCAAGAAGTAGGCGGCGATCAGCAGAATGGTGATGATGAACGAGATCACCACCACGAACATGAAGAACGAGGTGGCCGAGCTGATGGGCGGTGAGGCCAGGGCCATGCAGATGATGCCCAGCACCTGGGAGCATGAAAATAATTTGGAAAGCATTTGGAAATAAGTACAAGGTTTCCACAGAATAGATCATAGAATAATATAGTACATATATGTTGTTTTACCAAGCACAGATCTTTAAATTGAACAACTCAATTTGTACGTTTAATAACAATCCCCTTTATAAGAAAATTCGTTGATATGGAGAAATTTAAATGGTTTTTCAAAGCCTATTTTCCAGCTGACTTTAACCTATTTATGCACATTCACAGTGATTTTAGTCACTAGAGAAATAATAACATACGTTTGAACTTCTATAACAACCTCTGATATATGGTTTCTTTTTTAGCGATAGTAAGTATTACATATATACAATACTTTTTGTCTGTTTTGCATATTTGTTTGAACTTAATGCTTATTAAATGCAAAAATCAGTACTGAAGAAATGAGTTTTCGGCTATGGACTTTAAATAGCAATTGTTTCCCATGCCCACCCAGATCGTGATCTCCAATTAAGGGGCGCTTCTTCAAGGTCCCCATTTTTGTATCTGGAGTGGGAATGTGAGAATGTTATGTCACCATTAATTGACTGCGCATTATGAATCAAATGCACTGTTTCAAAGGTTATTTTCCGTCTAATTAAGCTGCCAGTTTTGAGTTGACTTCGCTGTAGTTATTCGTTTTCTTTTCTGATTTGAAGATCTTGCACATAATTTAGCATTTTCACTTTACAAAAGACTAGGATTATTTTCATTACGATTGGACAATTTAGATTGTTATGCAAAAAGAGGTTTATTCACGATCCTTGTTATTAATTGTCACACAAATAAAAATGGAAACTTGTTTGGGAAAGTATAAGAATTTAAATTTTAAATGCCCAATGTATAATGTAAATATAATTTAAGTATTGTAGAACGAAAAAAAGTAAGAAAAATATTTTTATAATATTCATAAATTTATGCAATTGTTGTATATTTATAAAGTTGTTTGTTATTTTTTAAAACACCATTTGATTTTATACAAATATGCACAGCAGTCAAGACCTCGAAATTATTTCAACAAAAATGATTTTATTTGGGTATGATTTAAATGTGACTTTTTTTTATAACAAGTCATAAATAACGGCAAACAAAACTAGCTCTTTTGTTTAAAAGTGTGGTGTTAAAAGTGATTCATAGAAACAATCTACATCTAATCTAATCTTCGAAAAGCTACAAATATCTAAACTCTGCCTGTGAAATCTCTTCTACATTTCCAATTTGTTTAAAACTAAGGCGAGTCTTAGGCTTGTGAGGTTGTTAAATGTGCTTAAATGACTCAATCCTTTCGGTTTTCAAGCAAAACAAATCAAACTTCAAGTCGCATTTGCGAACCGTATCGAAATGCGCGAAAAGGCGCGAAAAGTCGCAGTTCGATGTGGATGGTGAAGTACCTTTCAGAACTTGTCACCGGATGACACACATTCTCCTGCGACTGAAGCTCAGGTGACGTGGTTGTTTGGGCAATTAAAAGGCAATAAGCTTTTGGCGACACAAAAACGAGAAACCAAAAAAAAAAAAAAAAAAAAAGAAAGAAAAAAACAAATGAAAACAAGCAGGTGCGCAGTCGACTTCGGCATTTGGTTTTGGCTAAAACAAAAGGTACACGAAAAGTGAAAGCTGAAAGTTGTAGCCGGGCCAAAAGCGACCTGTTGATAGCAACATGTTGTTGCTGCTGCTGCTGCTGCTGCTACGTTTTTTTCTGCTTTTGCTTTTCCCGATGCCGCCGTCTCCTTTTGTTTTTGCCACCTGACAAGCAATTAACTAACAGCGGCAGCAAATCAGAGGTTGATTGAACTGTCAGCGATTTGTTGATCTTGGATTGCATTCCCGCTTTTTCGAGTGGCGTTCTCTTGTTTTTCTTTCTCTATTTTTTCCATTTTCCCAATGCTCGCACTTCACCTCAAAGATGGCTGTTGTTGTTTTTGTTGCGCACCCCCCAACAAAATTTGCGTCACTCTTCAAAAATAAGAGAAAGATATCTGCCTGGGAATTATACGAATTTTATCTTTTCTAAACATAATTTATGGATCCTCTTTTATTTGCACTCGTGTGCGTATATACCACACTATACATGTATTTAACGACACGATTTGCATATAGATGGGCGTAAATATGTGTTTACTGGCGGGGTCTGTCGGTCACAGCTTATATAGTTGATTAGTGTGTATGGCATGTGTGTTTCGTAACGCTCCAACAGCCAAACAGCCAAACAGCCAACAGCCAAGACAAACGCCCTCACTCACTTGGCTACAAAGAACAAGAACTGTAGTCTGCTATATAGAATATACGATATATACAACAAACATTATACATTATATACATTATATTATATGAAGTAACGAGCAATTTGCCTTGTGGAGCATGAAACTGTGCGTAGAGTGGAGCAAATGCATCAAGGTATGGCGATCGATCACGGCTATAGGCTATAGCATAATCATGTACGTTTTTTCTGCGCGATCAATGACGCGAATCGCCACTGAAATGGATCTGCTTCTTGGCCTCCAATTATACGGTCTGGGCTCCCGGCGACGTCTGCTCTCTCTGAAGTTCAATGGAAGCCACAGAAGTTCCATTAACCACAAAAAACAACCAGACTCGAAAGGGAATTAATAGGCCTATGGCATATATAATGGCACGAAATCATTTTACTTTGCGTTTTATTACTGGAACTGCTTCTAAATAGGTACATTTTAAATTCAAATATTGTTTTATCGATATTTGCTTGGCATGGGATAAACAATACAGAAAGCAGTCATTGCTTAAGATAAGCACAGTTCACTGGCCAAATGGTAAACAAACATACGATATGGTTAATAAATCTCATAAAAAATATGTAGCCTTGTCTGCTTGAAGCATTTGCTACCTATTTTTGTTAACCGGGCCAAGACGGAGCTCGGAAGATGAGCTCACTTTCTGAGCGCAGTGCACTTAGTCAGCGTCAATTACCTAAAATGTAAACAATTCATTCGCAAAACATGTATTTGCATAGCTGTGTGCAGTTTGTACAGTGCGTTACGGTGCTGTAGGACCCAACCAAAAAAATATTGCATATTATTTTGAGTAACTTTTCCCTGAGAAATGTAAGTGAGTTAAAGACATGATACTCTCTTCAAACGAAACATTCAATTGCACAATTGTCAGTAGCTATTTATTTATTTTTATAATACAGGCAAACAAGCTCTCATCTTTTATGAAAAACAAAATGTTCTACAAATAGAAAGTTAGAATGCAATGGTTAAGCTTGTAGGTCGGTGTGTAAAATATACCTTTTCTGATCAAAAACAAAATACACCTTGCAGGGTTGCATTCCTTCTTTATTTTCCCCGAACCCATTGATATACAAAGTATGTGCAACCAACTGACCTGAATAGATAAATAATAATCGATTCCTTACTTCCGATAGCTAGCTTAATTCTTAAACGTATACGAAATGATAGCCCACACAACCCACGTCTTTCGAGGCTTTGCTATCAGTGACAACAATATGGGCCTACGTATATGGAAGGCACTGTATTTGCCCATAAACGAATGGATGCCGTAACGATCAATCGCATTCTCCAAGCCACAAACAAACATTAGCAACTGGCTAAAACGACTTTCGGGTCGAATCCCGAACTCCGCCCCCGCCATTCCTTTCCATTCGATTCCGTTCCGTTTTGTTTTTGTTTTTGTGGTAAAAATTTCTTGAATGACACCGAATGTGTGTCATAGTTTCCGCTTTTGGCGAGAACATTCAAATTAAAATCCACGACAATAGTGCCAAACATTGTTGTGTGCTACACGGATCGCCAGCTTCCAAAATATCTTACGTAATTGCTATTATAAAAAGTTCTCAAAGGCAGGGACCAAGACCAACAAAACTTAATAATAAATCGTGCTTGGCCCGATTTGCATATATATATATATGTATTTCGCCTGTGTATATAGAGCACACAATTGGCCATGGAATGCATAACTCGTCCACATATACACATACAGATGCCCGATTTATGTATGAACATATAGGTTTTGGGGCCATTCGGGGTCCAAAATGCTAATTGCCAGGGCAGCTTGATAAGATACGGCCGATAGGGCTTCTATATCTGGATGGTAACTCCTGGAGGTACAGAATTGGCTTTTGGGGGATTTTTTCACGCGGGATCAAGGGGCGTATGAGTAATGGGCCCTGGCAAACCAGCGATCGGCGGTCAGGTGGCTGGCATCAATTGCCTTATCACTACGTTAGCTACTGAATATGCTGCCCCTTCGCAACCCCCTTCTTTCCGGCCAACTAAAGCGGTCGCCTCATTATCGCCCACCTCACTCGGATAACGGGGCGTATGAGTAACGCCCGATTAGCCGGTCCTCCATCTATCCGCGAAATTGGGCAAAATGAGTCACGGTCGGTCAACCGGTGGTAAGTATAGTTATACTGTAATTAGCTGTTTGAACAGTGATATTCTTTACAAACATTGCAGAACATGCTTACACAAACCTCATTGTTATTTTAAGATGTGTTAAAGTACATAAATAATATTTGCTGCTTAGCAAACTTGTCTGTTTGGTTTTGCAACAATTTCTTTAATTGTATGAATAGAAATAAAAATGTATTGAGCATTTGCAATAAACATTATTTTGTTAAAAAAACAATACAAATTATTTTAATTTTAATTTATATTATCTGAGTGAATTTCTTTTAGTTTCAAGCATTCATAAAAATGTATATAATAAGGTGTAGTTGGATAAAAACACCGTTTTTAAACAAGTTTCAAGTTTAAAGAGCGTCTAAAAATAGTTACCCACCAGAACTGTAAAATATTAAACATAACCTCCCGTTCCGCAAGCCAATTTCGAGGCCTTTCAAACATTTTCAAATGACCAAATTATTAATTTAGAGGGCTAAGTCCTCATGATTCGAGTTGGGAACCAGCAGGTGCATACTCGTATATGGCCCTGTTTTTTTTTTTTGTGGCAACGCCAAGTGAAGCACTTTTACATATTTATATTGCGCTGAGACTATCAGCAGACTATCGCCAAAGGCGGCCGATAAGATTAGTTGCCACAAATATCCCATTTTGACAGACACAAAGGAAGGCAGAAACAAATGGTCATTTGTGACATCAACGAGAGATAGATTGTCGTTTCGTTTTCGCTGGATCAGTGTGAGATTTCAGAAACTTCACCGCGATAAAAGAAGCCAACAAGAAGGAATTTGTCCAAGGATTTCTTTGTCGGCCAACCTCGCTTGCCAGTTATAATCGGAGCTTGGCGCGGCAGAAAATCAATAAATAGCACTTAATAGTCGACAGTTTATTGCGATGGTAATCATATCAGCAATTTCTCCCTCCCCCTTTCCGCCCGATTGATATTGATTTTCTCTGACAGCCGACGAGCGGTTAATAATGCATTTTTCATGTGTGCCCCGTCAGTTGTCGGCGTCTGAATCCTTTGTCCTTGGCTCCACGAAAATGCTAAGTGTGGCTCCCAAAGTGGGGGGTAAAAGACACCCCCCTTATCTCGAAACTTTCTACACCTGATGACCAGGTGATACACGCAGGTTAAGTGGAGGTACCCACACTTGTGATCGCAAGTTGCGAGCTGCGAGTTACGAGTTGCGAGTTGCGAGTATCTCGTGTTGGCGTAAATGCAGCGCCCACACGACTTGATTTGTGCCCATTGCGGCTGTGGGAAAATGTGAAGCCAAAGCTCCGAATTCCAGGCCAAATCAAGTGCTCAGTTGGCGGCTAAAGCTCTTGCCAAGAATTTCCGTTCGGTGGCAAGTTGACCAGACCACATGGCCATGGGCTCACGTGTCTGCAGCTCCCGCCAGTAGACAACTGGCCCTATCTTATCCACCTTAAGTCTAATGAGATCCTGACATACCTATATACCATACACACTCATTGGTACACACTCGTATATTTGCTGAATTGAGCACACATCGAGGGACTCTGGGCTTTCTTAGGTCCCCAGATATCTCGATAAACACTGGCGTAGATAAAACTGTTCAATTCAAGACGATAAGAGTTCTTTAAAGTACGCGTATTCGTTTCTGTTTCTCAGCTTTACTGAAGCTTTGTAACCCCCTAGGGATCATTCTACAAAATAGTTCACAACCAAAATAGTTTATTGCTCTTCCGGTTTGTAATCTTTGGAACTTGAATTTCTAGCAACTTAACATTTAAATATTTAGAACAACACAAGCACTCTTGTTGAACCTGATAAACATAAAAAACTACTAGATAAATCTTTTTTAAATAGTAAGAACTAGAAATTGTAGGGTCTTGAATAAATATTAAATATTATTTTCAGAGTAATATGATTGAAATGTGGTTTATTGTGTCAAAGAGGCATGTACCTATAATTGCTCATCCTACTGAGTACAATTTTCTTTCTGTGCAAACCACTTTACACGTATTTTTTTTAGCTAAGTGTACTTACAAACTGGACAACTTTGAGAATGCCCGGGATCGTGCGGAAATAGTCCAAGTTCAGGCGGATGGCGCCCCAGAAGTTGCCATCGGCGGACGGGTTTGCCCCGCCGGGCGGACCATTTGTGGTTGTTGTTGTTGTACGCTCGATATTGACCACGGTCTCGACCATATTGTTGCTGTTGTTGTTCTGTTTCAGTTGTCGGCGGGGGAGTTTAGCTGGGCAACTATTTTTAAACACTTGTCGCGATTGTCACAATAAAATAAGACAAAAAATAACCACCGCTGTGTCTATATGTTGTCCGCTGGTCGATCGGCGGCTATATGGCTATATGGCTATATCTATATGTGTGACGCCCTCGCGCGCTGATTTCAAAATACTGAGTGTGCGTATATAGCTAGCTAGCTGTGTGTAGTATCTGGTAGTAAGCAGTACAGCTGCGGTTCGATTCGATGCGATGCGATGCGGTGCGATGTGCTTTGTCCACGGCGGTCGCTTGTCGACTGAACTGCGAACTGCGAACCGCTGGCTGCGCCGCTGCAGCCTAACGGTTAACCAACCGAGCGCCGCTCACTCTCCCTCTACCTCTCCCTCTCGCTCTCAGTGGCTCTCCCGCTCGGTCAGCTAGCCAGTTGCGCGCGCCCTTTGGCGACGCCCCACCGCGCACCACCCACCGCCCAGCGCGCACCTCCATCGCCATACACACCACCCCCCAGCGGGCAAACTAGTTTGCTGCGCCTGCGCCGCCGTCGCCGCCGATTCTTAACCACTTAACCACTTGCACAGTGGGTCAATTCACAAAATTATGAGTTTCTTACTTGGTTTTTATCACCATCGAACGGACAGGCGTACTTCGATTCCGATCGTGATGCTGATCAAGAATATATATAAACTTTATGGGGTCTGAGGTGTCTCCTTCACTGCGTTGCAAACTTCTGACTGAAATTATAATACCCTTTTGCTCTGCAAGGCTATAAAAATATGCAAGCTAAATCACAATAGGATGTTAATCGATTTATATTTTTAGAACAGATTAGTATATAACTTTCGAATTTATTTATTTTGTAATTATTTATTTATTTATTTATTTATCACACATATTTCTTTAGAACAAATATAGTACCTGTTTATTATTTTCAAGTTCTTATTTCAACTAAAAGACGTAGTACAGAAACATATTCAATTCTGTCAACACGGCGGATGAGTAATATTTTTTCAACTGAACTTCATAAACCTTTTTAGAAACAAGGCATACCACTCCACTAACCTAGCCAAATATCAAATTACACATATTTTTAATAACAGTAAAGCCACTATATTGGTTGCTTTGCCAAGTTTTAAGAGTATTAGTTTTTTGAATTCAAGTTGAGGAGATTTCTGAAACAGCAACAATTGATATGTCAAAGAAGATTTAACTTTTTCTTTGATTTGATTGTTAATCTGGTAGACTGCATTTTCCTGCCCCCAGCTCGCTTGCTGTCTCTTTCTGTTTCACCGCTGGTCGGTCGGCCTTCTCTGTCTTTCTGGACGCCCACCGTTCGACATTCGCAACTGGTTTAACGTTCTGATTCGACTTTTATGGCTGCCGCGCTGCAGCGGCCGTGGGTCGCATCTGATTGGAATTTCCTAACTGTGGAGCGTGTTGTGGATGTTGTGGCAACAGTGGGTGGCATGTGCGCTGCACAGTGGTCCCCGGCCAAGAAAATGGAAGAAATAATAGAAGCCAGTACTTAATCCTTAAATAATTGTGCAAGAGTTTTGGAAAAAAGTGTTTCTTCGAACAAGAAATGAACTGAAGTCCCCAGGATAACTCATATTTTTTGTAGTTATAGAAGTAAAATTTTTAGCAATAAATACTTATTGAACTTTAGTTCAATTTTAATTTAAGATAAAAATCAAATAAGTTTAATGTTTTAAACTTTACTGAATCAACAGTCATTTTTTAACTTGCTTATGATATTTATGATTTAAATTTATTGAAAATTGTAAATTGGGGTTAGCGTGAAATTAAGCGAGTTAATGCATAATGATTTCGGCACTTGTTTATTTTTATATTTTAAGGTGCTCTTCGTACATTTTCAAAGTCAATTTCGAAACAGACTCTTTCTTCTGGCGTAGAAAATCGTTGGAAATGCAGTTCCATGCTGTGATTCTCTTAATGACCGGCAATCGGAATTTTTCCAGCGCAGGGAGCAACAGAAAGTTTGGGTATGCTGAACGAGAAGACGACCCCTTCGAGTTACCTCGTAATTAAGCGTGTTCTCGTACTTATCACGATCTTCTCCACAGGTTGTCTACACGTGTCATCGATATGGAGTCATCCCACTATCATAATTGCCAAGGAAGTGAAACAAGACGCGGGGTGGTTGGATTTTTTTTTGGTTAGCTTTTATTTGGGTGCAGTACAAACTATGACAAAATTTGCCTAATAAATAGAGCTTTTTTTTGGGCTGCTCAAGGAGCCTAGACTATGAGTTGCGGATCAACTGGAAAAAATTTGGTTAAGGACATGGACAATCCGTGAACGGACCTCGTATACAATTTTGGTTCAGCTGTTCGGAAATCTCAATGGAAATCGCGATAGGTATGTGCATAGAATTAGGTGGTAATTGCTTAAATAAATAACTCTGCTGCCTTGCAAACAAAAGGAATTTCGCTGGATCACAATCAAAAACAAAACCATGCATACATATGCTCACATGTACATAAATGTATTAAGGTATTAACGCAAAAACGGTTAGCGATGCGAATGTCTTGGGGGCCCGCAAAACGGGGGGCACTGGGAAGGACTAGATAACAAGAGCAGCACGGCCTGCAAAACTACAACTAAGCGCAACTAACAGGATACGAACTCTGCCGGCATTAACAGTTTGACCACAGGAGTATTTCAAGTACAAAATATCATCTCATTCGGAGCGACGCTGGCTATGGTTCTGGCTCCTCTCTCAGTGCGCATCCTTCGTGTCCAGCTCCACCAACGGTGGCACTGGCTCAGCCTCGGCACTCTGGCTTCTGCTCCTGCTTTGGCTTTGGCTGGGGCTCGGGCTTGGGTTGCCGCTCGGACTGGGACTTGTGCTGGGGCTGGCGTCCGGGCTCTTTGCCGGCTCACTGCCCTTCTGCTTCAGCGAGGGCGAGGCTGCCGGGGTCAGAGGGGCCGGCAATGACGGCGAGGCGGACGGGGAGATAGCTGGCAAGGGGGCGACTTCAGCCACGGCCTTTTCCTTGGTCGGCTCCGCTTTGGGAGACTGCGTCTGTGGCGGCCAGTGGTTGGACTTGATGACACTTTGGCTGCCGCCGGAGCAGGAGGGACTCTCGGCGAGGGCAGCCCTCGATGTGCCCGAGGTGGAGGCAATATTGTCGTCTTCAGGCTTGACTGCCTTGTCCGTGTCGCGCTTCTTTTCCTTCTGCTTCTCCTGCTGCTCCTTTTCCATGTCGGCTATCTTCTTCAGGTAGAACTTGTCCTGCGTCGGACATTCAAGGTGAACGCAATGGAAGATCTAAAATGAAGCAAAACCTTAGTTTTGTTTCGCTCTACTGACTGACAAATACCCACCTCATTCGCCGTGTTGCGAGTGCCCACGATGCGGATGAAGACCACCGGGCGCGGGGTGAAGTGAAAGTTCTGCCAGGAGCGCGCCTTGTCGTTGCGTCGGTCGACCACCATCTGCCAGTCCTTGCGGTTCGTCGAGGTCTCGATGTAGAAGCTGTAGGTGCGATCGTCGCAGTCCCACAGCAGCAGGCGCATGGAGCCCACGTGATAAGGCTGCCCCAGACGGACGACGATCTCGCCGCTGCCCAACTGGTGGCACGTGTAGCCCGAGTCCCAGTCGTACCGCACATAATCCCCGTTGATCAGCGCATTGCGGGTGCGACTCACTCCGTCCGTCACGATGGCGCTCATCTCGATGGTGGCCACGTTCGCCTTGGGCGCCACGAAGTGATCGACCAGCCGCGGCACCTTGGCCGTGTGCATAGCCTCCAGTCCCACCACGTGGAATACCTTGTCAAAGTGAGATTGAAGTAAGAATTAGCAAATTGCATTATTCAAATTACAGGTGCCCAACCGGTTTACTCTTGCAATTAAAACTTCTACACGCGCGGGAATTAAAAACAATTGCTTCACTGCTAAATATATTTAATATTAAAATTTCTGAGAAAAATAACCTCTTCTGTAATTACTACTCTTAATCAAAATAATTATGTATTACATATTTAAACAAAAACCATCATGATACATTCTGGTAATTGTACAACTAAAAAGCTAACTCGCAAGTTAGAAACAAAACACATTAGTTAAATACGCAGTCTGTAATTCTGAAGACATAACCGAGCAGTTCATAGAGCAAAGTGCGGGATTATTATTACGAACACGCAGGGAACAGTGGCGGATCCACGGGGGGGAAATTAGGGAAATTTCCCCCCTTGGAACCACAGAACCTGAAAATTTTACTTGTTTGCTATGGTTGACTTTTCAAATATTACCGCTTTGTTTACCTAAAAATTGGGATGGATAATTTTTGTTTTATAATTTGTACTGTATTTCTCTCGCAATAATAAGTTTGAACCCCAAATCGAAGAATAAGTTCAATTTCCCCCCCCAAGAATCGTCTCTGGATCCGCCACTGGCAGGGAATGATTAATGCTCACCAAATCAGACGGGATAGCTTCTATTAATTTAAAAGTAAGTATCCAAACCTTTAAATTTAAAACACAAGTTAAGGAACAATGACTATTTCTATTTTTGAAATATCTACATCTACAATGCTGGTTTCTCAAACTTCTTATTAATAACTACTCCTTTCTGGACTTTAACCGCATATGCTCAACGACCATGAATTAGCGTGGAGTATTAACTTTTTTTTTTACAAATTTGATATGCTTGGCTTACCCGATTGACAGTGTTCTGGGTGCCCACGAGGCGGATGAACCTCACTGGCCGCGCCGCGAAGTAAAGGTACTGCCAGGAGCGGCAGTGGTAGTCGCTGTAGTCGACCACGCGCTCCCAGTGCTGCTGGTCGCCGGACACCTCGACAAAATAGGAGTACGCCCGGCTATCGCTGTCCCAGAGCAGCATGCGGATGTGGTTGATCATGCAGAGCGTGCCCAGCTCGACCACAATGCCCGCATCGTTGCTGTCCGTGATGCAGTGGCGCGTGTAGCCGTGCTCCATGTCGTACGTGGTCACATCGCCGTCGAGCAGGGCAGAGCGGCACTCGCCCTGAATGCAGCGGGACAGGAACTTGGCCGTGGCCACGTTCTCCTCCGGCCAGAGGGCCGCCCGGTAAGGCAGCGTTTTTGAGGTGCTCCGCTCGTCGATGGCGTCGAGGATCTTGTCGGGCTCCAAAATGCCCGATGGACGCACCACCTGCAGCAGGTGCTCGAGGTTCATCAGTGGCAGGCGCACGAAGCTCACCACCGATTTGATGTCGACGTTGGGATTGTAGCGACTCCACTTCCACACGGCCAGGAAGATCTGCACCTCGGGGGCGAAGAAGCAGTCGCGACGCAGCACTTCCTCCAGTGATTCCTGCAGGGATTGCCATTGCTTAAGGGATTTGTTTTTTAGGAAGGATATGGACCTACTTTTGACAGCGTTTTGAAGGAGTCGTGCTGCAGTAGATCGGCAGCATTGCGGTCCATGAACATGAGGCACACTTGGGTGAGTTCCTCCAGGTTGTAGAGTCGCGCTGCATCAAGGATCATGCAAACATTGTTGAGGGCGAGGTACTGGCGCAGATAGTTCGAGATGGCCAGTTCCAAGTCCTGGAAGCCGTACTGATTGGCCATGCCCAGGACATCGATGACAGCATCCTCGTCCAGGGTGGAAAGAAGCAGTGTGCCCGAGTAGATGTAGCGCAGCAGGACCTTGAACGGATCTAGTGGCACCTCTAGGGGTATTTGACGTTGGGTGGTTTCCGCCATTCCGCCGTAGAGCAGCGCCCGGAAGTATTCGCTGCGGGCGGCCAGGACGACGCGGTGGGCGGGAAGCCGCTGCTCCTCAACAATGAATTCCACGTCCGCGTACCGCTCGTTCATGCACAGGCGGGCCATGTCCGCCGAGAAGCGATCGCCTAGGTCGATCTCGTCGGTAAATTCCTGCTCCTGGCCGCTGCCGTTGTTTTTGCCGGAGCCACTGGATGCCGTGCTCTGCATTCCGCCGGACAGTCCGCCGCAGCCCTGCATCTTGTGATGTCCCTGGCTGCTCATCCTTGCTGTACGTGTGTGTGCTGTGCTCGTTCCCTCGTCACGTAAATTTATGTTGTGTGAGGTGCGTGCCAGAGAGAAATGTTAACAATTAAAGCCTCGGCTGCTGCGTCAAACCATCGATAATAGCGATGTATCGATAATATCGATGCTTCTCGTCTGGTTGAATTGAGTTTCGAGACCAAATAGAATCTGATTGGGTTTGGTGTGACCGCTGGTTCATCTTACCGAAATACCGCGTATTACAATAACGCATTGTCCCGACAAAGCTCTTTCCCGCCAGCTTAATAATCCAATGCGCAAAAAATCTGTATATTTAATCTATTTGTTACGTTTGATTTTATTTTGTACAATTGTAAATAAATTGTCTCGGCTATTTACTTTCCCTAAGAAACCGCTCCCAATTCCATTTTTATCTTTCTAGCAAGATAAGCATAAATAATTGCATTACCTTTAGAGATAATTTTCTGTTTTTTACCCGATTTGTTGTCAATTTAAATTTAAGCACTGAAATTATTCGATATTTCATACGAGAAAAGTCTATGGTGAATGACTGTAGCGAAAACATCGATTAGACCAAGTCTTGCCGTCATAAGCATCGATTACATCGAGCAGGCATCGAATGCTTTTCCAGCTCCACCGAGCACGGTCACTCTGATTTCGAATTTCAGCCCGTTAGGTCGACAAAAGAGCAGAGCGAAAAACACAACCACAGCAAGACACACACACACACGGACAGCACTTGTAGTTTCTGGTCAGAAGAAAATAAAGTGAAAAAAACTGCGTTTCTTAGCCAATTACCTGTTCATCACCATCATGAAGTTCCAATACAAGGAGGAGCACGCCTTCGAGAAGCGTCGCGCCGAGGGTGACAAGATCCGTCGTAAATATCCGGACCGTGTTCCCGTAAGTACTCTAATATATATATACTTCCATAGTTGTGTGTACATACGTGTGTGTGTATGTATGTACGAGTTTCTGTGTATGCGTTTGTTTTGCGTCGTTTTTTTTTTGTTTGTAACGAAGAAAATCAATACTGCGCATATTGGGTATTTCGGTAATTGTTAATAATTTTGCAATTGCACATTGGGTGGCCTGGGTAAATTCAAGCAAATCAGGTGCATAAAATTTTTTTTATCTGGGAAAACACTTGCGAAAAACTCGCAAATGTAATCCAAAATCGTCCCCCTACACACATATACATGTAGAGAAAAAAACAAAAAAAGAGAACAAAGCAGCCGTTTCGCTTGCTCAGCTGTGAAGTGTTGTTGTTTTATACTGCTAGATTTCATCTGCTCTTCTTTTTTCCCCTATCATTTTCGTTTGTACAGGGAAAAAATTTATAAGTGATCAGTTTGCTGTTTTTTTTATTGTTATTACTTTTTAGTTGCAAAGACTACTTTAGAATTTTTAAACAAAAAATGTAAAATCAAATGTATAATGGACTAAATCAAAAGTTTAATAATCAATAATCCACCCTTTTTTATCAGTGTTCGAACCAGTTGTTTTCGATTTTAATTTCGTTTATTTGCTTGCAAAAACAAGTGAGTACTGCGCATAAAAAAAGTCACTCACTAATACACGCTAACACAGCTTGTTTTGTTTTCACAACACAAACACAATCTGCGACTGGAATTAGTCATAGATGCGCTAAAAACAAAAAACAAAAAGGTAAAAAAACAAAAATTGAGGGGTACCTCTCTTCCTTTGTTGTTTTTCTGCTATTTCACCACCTTATCAGCAAACTCCTTTCGAAAAATGGTGAAGGTGCCCCAATCGCAGCGAAAAGTGCATTAATTCTCGCGCTCGCCGCTCTTGTTTTCGATTTTGGTTTCGACTATATATGCACATATTATTTATTTATTGCCTGAGTCCCAGTGTTATTTTCGTTTGTTTTTGGCAAGTGCACAAGTGCCAAAAAACAAATCACAAACCAAAAATCACATAACAGCTGAGCGAGGGGCAAGGCCAGCTGGTCAGACCATATACAATATGTATGTACATATATCCGAATTCTATATAGTACGTACAATACTATCTAATACCTTGATTTCGGCCAATGACGCTAACGAATTCTGTTGGGGAATATATCAGGGGTGGCAAATACGATAAGCGGTTTGCTAATTTAGTATTCATTATGTTGCCCCCGCTTCCTGCTCAAAAGTTTGCCAAACCAGTTTATCGGTAATTTGGGCAAAGGCTAACTTATAACCTCTTGGCTAGAATGGATTGTCTAGGCCAGTGAGCCTGCGAGTAGCTTATTCTAATCTATGTATTTATATGGAATGCAATATATAAGATAAAGCACTCAAGTTCAAATATTACCAAGAAGGTTAATTCTATCCAAAATTCTTGAGTAGATATTGACCATCAAAAAGAAACGGAAATATACTTATATACTTAATGTTATCCTATGGTCCCTTATGTACAGTGTTTTAACGGACCAAGTAAATAAAAGAAAATATTGTCGAATAACGCAGATAAGAATTTATTTAGTTCATAGGGTGCCCCTTCAATGGGTTTGTGAATTGACGCTCAAAATATTAACAACAAAAATTGCTTTAGTAAAAGATTTAAATTTAAGTAACTATTGAAATTTAATTTAAAAGCTAAAAGAAGCACGAAAACACGTGTAAGTAATTACATGTTTGGCATTACGAAATTCTTGAATGCAACACGAAATTACTCATTTCAATTACGAAATTATTCATTTGAGTTTCAAGATACTTGTATTGTTTCAGTCAGAGTTAGTTTTTTTCTTGCCAAGATGCACCTAACTGCAAAAATGAAGCAAAAAATGTGATTTTTAATAATGATTATTAATAACTAATTCGAAAGATTATTTTCAAAGAAGTTTTTTAAAAGAAGCATCTAAATAAATTCATTCATGATACAAACGCATTGCCGAAATAACGGATTTATTGTATAATATAAAACCTGAATTCAATCAAATTGAACAGGTGTTCGTCTATTTAGTTTTCCAAGGTAGCACGTATTCGAACACACGCCACACTTGCGTTTACTTTGAGAAATGCAAATGCCACTTATTGCCAAATATGTGAACATTTCTTGGCACGTATTCGGGTTTAAGAGTGCGCACATAATAACCAAATTGCCCTACAACTTGAACTCACATCCTTTACTTTTATAATACATTATAGGTGATCGTCGAGAAGGCTCCCAAGGCGCGCATCGGTGACCTGGACAAGAAGAAGTACCTGGTGCCTTCCGACTTGACCGTCGGTCAGTTCTACTTCCTCATTCGCAAGCGCATCCACCTGCGTCCCGAGGATGCCCTCTTCTTCTTCGTGAACAACGTCATTCCACCAACATCGGCAACCATGGGCTCCCTGTACCAGGTAACTACTGCCCCCACACGATGCTCCTGCTTACGGAACCTAACCCACTCTCGTTATTGAAGGAACACCACGAGGAGGACTGCTTCCTGTACATTGCCTACTCCGATGAGAATGTCTACGGCATGGCCAGGGTCAACTAACTCTGCTCCGGCTTGCATCGGAAAACAACCCCCTATACAGAAATCTATATATAAATAAATATATTTTGTGTTTAGCATGCAGCTTAAAATATGGACGCGAGTTAGCTAAACGAATTGAGGAAAACCGAAGGAAATGCCACACGAAAAGAACTTGATAATGATCTGAACCAGGGCAACAAAAAAAATCCACAAAACAGAAAACTACAAAAAGAATTGTTATGTGAACCTTATTTTATATGTATACAATTTCTAAACGCGTTAGTATTTCAATTAAACTCTGCTTTCTCCTACCATTAACCCCCCGAAAACAGATCTATTCACACATATTTCTTCGGCCCATCTAATTCCCATTGCTGTACTTGATCTGTGCAATTGCACATGTACTTTACTTTGTTCGCTTATTTCGATGATTTCACACCCTTTTTTTTTACAATACAACAAAATTTTGTGCATATTTAGTGTGTATGGTTACGAATAGGACTCTCTCGGTTAAGTGTACGGTAATTAATCTATTATTAAATAAACAAAAACCATAAAAATACACATAAAATGAGTGTTTATGGGGCTGGCCTAATGGTTTATCTTTAGTTTCATATTTGTTGGGGATTAGTTTTCGAAAGTCGCCAGCGTCCAAAGTTTTTATTATGATTAAAACCGATCTGATTTAGAGATAAACAAATAACAGGAAGAAGTTATTTATTACTGTTTCGTTTTTCTTCTTTGTTAAACGAACAATGAATCCTTATCTTTAAAAAAAAAAGCTGAGTTCGTTCGAAGCGATTTTGCTGCTTCTTAGTTAGTTTTTTGGTTTACTTACAGTAAAGAAATTATGTATAAATTTATTCTATGATTATCTTTTGTAAGATTAGGGAAAACTTTATTTCTTTCTTCTATGACTGTAGATAATTAAAAGAACATTTTCATTCTGGCTTAACTGGTTTATTGATATTTTTGTTGTATTTTCCTTTTATTGGTAAGTTATTCTCGTTATGAAGTTGCGAATTCAAGATTTTACAAAATTTTTTACAATTAAAGCCACGTTGTAAATCAGAATATTGTAGTTAAGGCATGCAATTACACATTAAGTTGGATGACGAATTAGCTTTTACTAGCCTTTATTTATTTGTTTTTGATCTTATCACAACAAAGGGGACTTATCATCCATTTAAATATTCCGCCCGTTATGGGCATCACTGACTCCAACGCACGTCTGGCCACATTGCTGCAGTGTTGCTTAGCTTGCGGGGGCGGCATTTACGGGCGCCGCCAGTGTTGCCAAACGTGGGTTCAGCCAACAATCAGTCGATCGGCTGCGCTACTTAAAATTATTAACAATTCGCTGTTTTCATGTGAAACATCGTGCCAAAAAACACGAGCCAAAAGCAGACACTCTCGGAACCAGGTAAATACACCTGGGCAGCCTGCAAAAAAAGCCGGATAAAAGCGGACTAGTTACAAAACAGACCAAGGAGGTGCAAAAAAAAAAAAACGAGAAAAAAACGTAACTGCTGCGAATTGTTTGTTATTGCTGTGCCAGTGTCGTTGTTGTTGTTGGTGTAGTTGTAACTCGTGACGATAGAAATTAGTAATATAGTTAAAAGGTGTCACTTAGTTTAGTTCATGAATTTGTGGGTGCAATTGATTTTTGTGGCCTGTCTGCTTTGTTGTTGTCAGGGGGTGGTTTAAGCCAACCAAACCACCCACCACCCCTCTTGGGTGTTTGAACTCCGGCGTGAAAAACAGCTGCAACGATTGCCACATAAAAGAAGTTTAAGTAAAGAAAGAAAAGAAACCTCGGGGGAAAAACTGCGCTTATTGAATTACGTTGAAACACGCTGACTAGACCAAAAAACAAAAACAAAAGAAAAGAAAAACAGCAGTCGTGTTATTGTCCACTCAGCTTGTTTTTGTTGTCTTTCGCGCCGTTTGCTTTGTACTGCCCTCTTCTTCTGTTTTTCGCTTCTGTTTTGCGCTTCTGATTCTAAAAGTCTCTGCTGTTCCGCTGTTCTTCTTCTTTCCCCGCTTTACGCGCATGTGGATTCGTTTTATTGGTGCTCGAGTATCGCATGATAATCTCACTCGTAATGGTTGTTGTAATCGTTGTCTCGCTTTTGTTGTTGTTGTGCTTTTCCGCCACTCACATAAACACACATACGTATCTATGTCAACTTGCCGAAAACTGAAGCATTTTTCCCAGCAAATCAAATTCAATTGAGAAAACTATCAACCAACCCGCATAATTTAAATTATAAAAAAAAACGAGAAAGCCGATGTTTTAATACCCTTATTTTATACAAAATGAAAACTGTGCGGTTAATAGTTTTCGTATAAAATTTTGTATCCAACCAAAATTTAGAATACAGTGATAAGTTGTGTAAAGTTTAAATTATTCAATTCTAGACAATAAAATCGTATTTTAATGTCAATAAGGTTATTAAAATCGTAGAAGTGCATTAATTGGATTGCACATTAATTGGATTAGGAAAGGATCATTCCTTTAGAAAAGTTACAACTGCTGTGTATAAATATAACTGGAAATCTACAGATTAGCGAAATTAGGATTTAAATATGCTAGTTCAAAGATAATTATATTAATCAAATTGTAAAACCAAAATATTTCTGTTAAAAACACTGTTTAAAAAGTTTGCCTTGTCTCATGACTTAGGATTTTGAAATAAGCATCAAACTTAAAATTTCAGAATGAACACAACTTTGTTTGAAACGTCAGTGCTTTTCTAACATTCTTACATAAAACAAACCCAAGCTCTTTTATTCATTATTATACATTTGTACAATTTGTAAGATTTTCAAGGAAGTAAGCGTTAAAATGTGAGTAATAAGGTATTGAATGTTATGTAGGTACATATAAAAATGTGCAAAATGCTGTAATGTAAACCTTACCTTTTAAATATTTAATATTTCGGATAGATTGATTATTTCTATTATAAATAAAATTCTTTTTTAGTTAGCCATCCATTGTTTTTAAAGGAACATTTATTTGGATTATGTATTTATTTTATATTGAAACGACAGATAAAAAAGATATCAACGAAGCGCATTGAGTAGTTCTACTGAAATGATTTTGGTACTCTTAGTTATCTTTTAACCTTAAGCTTGGGTGGCAAATCACTTGTTCATATCTTTTGGACATTTATCCTCTTATCACTGCCATTTCCTAGTTATGAATACTTATGCATGCGCTCAGAGCTGATGGCTAGGCAACGTCTGGTCGAAACGATAGTACTTCTTGCCAGGGCATAACACAAACAATTCAAAATCAGGGCGACCACGTCGGAACAATTCGAAATTAGAGTCACTTGTACACTTTGCACCCCAGCCAGTTGAACGCTTATCAGTTTATCAGGGCACCCGACGCGAACATACTTTTATTTAGTTTTTTTTTCACGCACTGCAGAATATGCGAACCGCCGCCAAACGGTCGAAATTTTAAATTTCTTAAATTGCCCGGACACACACGAGAGAATTCGAACCGATTCGACTAACCTATTGGGTATTCCATTTGGTTTTATTTTATCTCACAACACAGCCGCTTGCAAGTCAACCGCTTAAATGTCACAACACTCGAAAAAGGACAGCAGCAGTAGCCATGCGGCCCAGGGCAATCGACACAGCAGCGGCAACACCAATAGCAACAGCAACAGCACCGGCACCGGCAGCGGCAAGAGTCACCACAAGCGGCAGGCGGCCAACGGCAGTGTAAAGGCCAACAGTCACTCCTCCCACTCCCACTCCCACAGCCAAACGCCGTCGAAGTCGACCAGCAGCAGCAGCAGCCTCAGCCTCAGCGGGAGCAGCAGCATGCAGGACACCAGCTCCTCCATCACCAGCGCCGCCAGCTCCGGCACATCCTTGCTGGCGGCGGGCAAGGCGGCGCCGCCGCTGAGCCGCAAGGAGAAGAACCAAAAAGACAAACAGCGCGAGCGGGAGCGAGTGGAGCGCAGCCAGCTGGTCCTCTGGCGGCGTCCCCTGCAGACCACCAAGTACTGCGGCCTCGAACTGGCCGCTCTGCTGCGCACGTGGAGCACCAGGTGAGCGGAATTGCCTTTCCCAGCCTTGAAGCCTTGATCTAATCTCCGTTCCACTTACAGACTGCTGCAGCAGCGACTCCTGCTGGCCGCCCTGATAGTATTAGGCATCGTATTTAGCGTAATTTACAAAATAGACGGCCCCCACCAGTTGGCCATTGAGTTCGTGCGTCGGAACACGTGGTTCTTCGTCTACTGGCTCGGTCTGGGCGTCCTTTCCTCGGTGGGTTTGGGCACCGGGCTGCACACGTTCCTGCTTTACTTGGGCCCGCACATAGCCAGCGTCACGTTGGCCGCCTACGAGTGCAACTCGCTCCGGTTTCCACAGCCCCCCTATCCCGATGAGTGAGTATTTCAGCAGTCATAGGAAACTGCCTAGTAATTATGAACAGACGTGCAGACAATCTATACTAAATATTCTTGTTGTTTCACCGCACAGCATTATCTGCCCGGAGGAGCCGTACGACAAGCGGGTGCCCAACATCTGGTCCATTATGTCGAAGGTGCGGATGGAGGCCTTTCTCTGGGGAGCGGGCACCGCGCTCGGCGAACTGCCGCCCTACTTCATGGCCAAGGCGGCGAGGCTCTCCGGCTACGATCCAGAGGACGCAGAAGAGCTGGCCGAGTTCGAGGCGTTGAACGCGAAGCGTCACCAAAAGAACCTCAGTCTGATGGACAAGGGCAAGCTGTTCATGGAGCGCGTGGTGGAGCGCGTCGGATTCTTCGGCATTCTGGCCTGTGCAAGCGTGAGTGGTGAAAATCCAGCGTGGTTCCTAGATAATCAGTCTTGAGAAAAACAAACATTTTAAATGTAACTAGTGAAGTGAGATGTGATACTCAGAAAGGATTGCTTTTGTCTCCATAATAATACAACTTGCATTTTCAATCAATACCTTAAATTTTAAATTTAACAATATGATACAAACAAACTTTTAGACTGCCAGAATGCCTGTTAAAAAACTTTTATATTCAATTCTTTTACAACTCATTAGGAAGAATTATGCATGAATTTCTCTACATTCTAAAATCATTATATTTTACCACTAATAAATCAATATCAATTGTATCCAATACAATTTTGCTTCAGAAATAATTTACATTCATTTTAGTCTGTTGACAAGTAACTAAAGTACTTTGATATTTACTAATAATATTTAATAATTGCTTAATAATAATGATAATGATTAATAATAATAGCATATTACTTTATCTCATTTAAATTCATTATTCTCTGGAACTCTGCTCTCCATTGGCTGACGCTGCTTTATTAACTTGTGTTATTTCCGTTGCAGATTCCCAATCCCCTGTTTGATCTGGCCGGAATAACCTGCGGCCACTTCCTGGTGCCATTCTGGACGTTCTTCGGGGCCACGCTGATTGGCAAGGCCGTGATCAAGATGCACATCCAGAAGATCTTCGTGATCATCGCCTTCAACGAGACGCTGATCGAGCGGGCCGTCGACCTGTTGGCCTCGCTGCCGGTGCTCGGCCACAAGCTGCAGGAGCCGTTCAAGTCCTTCCTGAACAATCAGAAGCTGCGGCTGCATCGCCAGCAGCGCGGAGCGGCGGGAGCGGCAGCTGGAGCTGGGGATTCGGGCAACCTGCTGTCCAGGATCTTCGAGACGTTCGTGATCGGAATGGTGTGCTACTTCGTGGTGTCCATCGTCAACTCGCTGGCCCAGAGCTACCACAAGCGGCTGCACAAAAAGGCTGCCGGCGGAGCTGCGACCACGCCCACTCGACTGGCGGGGCCGTCGAAAAAGGCGGGAAAGCAGAAAGCTTTACGGGACTAGAGAGGATCGGTAGCATGAATGACTTCTGCTGAACGTTTTTCCAACCCAAAAAACCAACATCCCCCCTTAATTTGTTTAAATTATTTTGTTTATTGCGGCTTTCGCTCTTAGTCAAATTAAATTGTATGTGAGTGTGGCCACGAGAGAGAAGGATGCGGATGGACAGCCGGAGGAATTTACCTTGTAGACTAGATTAGGAAAAAATGAAGCGAGTAGCCGCAGCCACCACAATATATGTAGCAAGAGCAGAATATATTTTAGTAATGTACAAGAAAAACCCTAGCAATTTTTTGTGACTATCGTTTCGTTGTAACGAAAGTGAGGGAGACGCAGCTAGTCGCGCCTAATGAAAAGCAAATTGTGCAAAAGTTGTGCAAAAGACAAACAAGCCAGAGTAAACAGAGAACCCAAAATAAAATGTAGCCATGAGCAAGAAGCAAGTATAAAAAAGATTTAAAAACGCTGAAAATAAACGAAATATGGATTTACAAATTACAGCTGGGTGTATGCCTCAATTTAAATGGGATTTTTAGTGGGTCAACTGGGAAGTGTGTGTCGGGCTGACAGTCCTGGTTGAACAGATATTATTATTTAAAGGTATGCCTGGCTAAATAATTCATGTTAAGTGCTATAAATAATCTATGTAAAATAAGCCTACATATGTACGTATCTGTTAAAAACTAACTTAAGCAGTCTAGCCGGAAGGTTTTTGATAATCGTGGGAATAAGTAGCGATTATAGCGACTCCTGGTTACGGCCAATAAAAAGAGAACATTAACTTTGAAGAGAAAGGAAAAACTGAAATAACTACGTGCAGAATAATAAATAAAATATGGAAATACAACTTAGCGGCATTTCGATATTTTATTTTAATAAAAAGAGTGAGTATTCGGTGCCTTGAAATATATTTGTGGCATTTTTAAGTTACCAATAATACAAAACAAATTTTAAAAATGGTTGCTCAATAGTTTTTTCTGTGCATATATGTAATATTTATATAATTTACAAGTTTGAAACGTGAAATGGGAACTCATCGAAACGCTGAAAAAAGTGCTTGGTGTTCTATTTTTAGTGCTTTAAAATGAAATTGAAAAAATGCAGATGCCAACCCTTTTGATATATACTATACATTATTCATCAATGATTTATACCTCGCACTCAACATTCATTCAGTGAAAACTTATGCATGCAAGTAAATTGCACATATTTAACAAAAACAACTTGTTTATATTTTGGTATAAGCGCAATGTTTTTATGTTTACATCCATCTGCAGGCCGCAGTTTCCGTTTTTTTAACTTATTGTAAATAATTTCCAAGCCAATTTGACTTTCAATAGAAAACTTTAGTTAGGTTTATTGAAAGTTTTCCGTATAAAGAATAAACTAACACTTAAAATACAGTTTAGTTCACAAACTTAAGAGTAGATCAAAGCCAGCTATTACATAGGTACTATTGTATTTATATTATTTATCTTCTTTTATAAGTAAAAAATGGTATTAAATTAAAGTTTTTTTTAAATATATAAATTTTTTTTTTGTATTTCATTTAGTTATTAATTAATTGCTTGTACATATTATACATAAATAAATATATGTACATTTTTCAAACCCTAGTTTTTCAAGTTTACATGTTTGAAAAGTTTAAATGAGTAACCACTTTTCTTTTTCTGCCCGCCGGCATTGCAATATAAACCGACAGTCATTAAGATGAAGATAGGAAAGTGCTGAACAAGAAAGGACCTGTTAACAGCAGTGGGAATAGGAGCTGAAAAATAAGGATAATACTAGTTAAATGGTTGGCAGAGGGACATCGCAGTGGGTTAAACGGCGGAATCCGTTGATTGCCCGGGGACGCAGATCGCACGAAAATCCGTTATCAACAGTTGGCTAACAGCTCGAAATCAAGCTGGCACTCATTAAGCCAAATAGCTACTGGCCCATGGCTACGGTCCTGCTGCCCCGCCCTCCCCTCCCTTTCCCCTTGAATCCGGCTCGAAGGACAATTGCCGCTGCAGGCATGCAGGGGAGGGTAGGAAAAAATAAGGGGGTGGTGTAGTGGCGTTGATGTGGACGCGCTTTGAATGCCTAATCCTGTCAACTGTTACGGCTAACAGAAACAACAAAAACAACAAAAACAACTGGCAGGAAGGCAAACAGCGATGACAACTGCCAGCGGCGAAACGGCGAAAGCCGTCACACAGTGTCAACACTACACAACACAACTCAACACACTCCTGCAAGGATGGACAGGCAGACAGACAGACAGACAGACAGACAGAAGGAGAGACAGACAGACAGAGAGAAAGACGAAAAGGACGAGGCGTGCGAAATGTCAGCGGCCCAGGACATTGCACGTACGTTAAATATTTTCATTTGGCTGTCAGCATTTATTTAAAATAGACACACCGTTTGAGAGATAAAGGGGTAGAGTACAGTGAACACCCAGCAGCGGGGACTTGAAGTCCTTGCTGACCGGCAAAGCGCATAAATTCCACTTGGCTGCGCGAATGCTGCGTAGGGGCGTGGCCCCTCGACCACATGCACACTAGCCACACACACAGACAGACAGACAGAAGGGTAGACAGACAGACACAGACACGGAGTCGGAGGCAGGATACGTACGTGCGTGGCACGGCAATCGCCTAGTCCTGTCGCCTTTGACATTAGTGGATACACCTCACCGAAGCGTGGAGCAAAGCCTCCGTTTCGGTCGTAAAACTTTCACCTTTCTCCTGCTCCACACCACTTCAGCATCCGTCACGAGTTGGCATTTCACTCGGACCTTGAGCCTCGGGGCAAACAGAATTCGTGTAGAATTCTATCTGTAGCAGGGCTGGCATTCCCAGCTCGCAGGATTCAGGTACTCGGCTGCATAGAATTCTGCACTCTTTTTGGGCGGCTACTGGGTTCAAATCCGCCTTGAGGTAGCGCTTTTTTCATGACCAAAGCCCCACCAAAAGTATGCTATAAAACTATGCTTCGAGTAAGCGAGAGAGAGAACTCGACTGGGATAAAATCCTGAGAGTGCGAGAGAGAAAAACTAGCCAAGCCTTCCTCAGAACCAGCCACTTGGCTATTTAAAAGCCATCAATTAACACTTTTTAAAAAGATAGAGGTAAGGACTTAAATAAAAAAAATAAACATGGGTTAATGGAAAAGATAGTAATTTTACAAATTTTTAATTCGAAAAAATAAAAATGTTTATTTTTTTTTTGTAATTTTCTAACTTTTCCTGATTAAAACTAAATTTTTTTAATAATATTCTAATCAGGAGTTTCCGTAATAAGTATTAATACCGTAAGGTAATAAATTTTGCCTATTTGCGTTTATTTTTTTTAAAGCATTCTAAATAACGCAAGAGGATATGTTCATTTTTGCTATTAAAAGTAGAAAATATTACAACATTGTCCTTACGTTATGGAAGGCCAGCGGCCACGAGCTTTGCTTTCGGCCTGTGAGCGTGCAAATATGACAAAGCTCCAGTACAAGCCATTCTAGCCACTTCGCCTCGCTCCTCGACACTTTGCTATCTTCCTGCGCGTGGCCATATGGCCGTTATCCGACTCCTCCGAGCAACAGGCGAGGGGAGCTGTGGAGCCAAGGTGATTGTTTCTAGGGATGGTCTCGCTTGGCTCATGTATCGATCAACTTGACGAGCTTTGAACTGATTAAAAAAACCCTTTATTTAGATCTGTGATTTAAAAATACTGTTATCCAGGCAGTAAAACTAGTTCAATACCTATTTTATAATAAACAGTTGTAAAATATGAGCACTTTGGAGTGCACACAATAGAAATTGAATCTCTATAAAATAAAACTTAAATGATTACCATAAATTAAAGCGCTAGTAATAAAAATTACATAATATATTTCTGCCTTTCCATATATGCATTTAAAAAACAGCTTATGACAATTATTGTTATACTGAAATTTAAATTCATTTTGTAGTTCGTTTTTGTTAAGAATGAGTTTATGTTAGTTTATTTATTTTATTTAAAGCGATGAAAGTTTTTGAAAGCACAAAACAAATTCGTAGGAATAGACAATGATGATATCAACGTTTTTTTTAGATATTCGCTAATCGATCGTTAATTGCCATTCGATAAGATATAGCTTAGTGTAAGCTCTACGAAAATGGCATTTCTGTTGGTTTCATGGAAACGTTTTTACAACTGCCCAGAAGTAGACCATAAAAAATGAAATAATGGTATCCTGTTTACTTTGAAAAGCCAAAGTTTTTTAGTTGCTCGAAACAGGTAATTGAAAAGAATTTGTATATAATCTATAGATGAGATGAAGATGGAGACAATTTTCAAATTATTTAAAAGCTGCACTTGAACTTCGATTAAATATCCTTGGCCGATGTCGAAACTGCCACCTCTGGCGGTGGCGATAACGGCAGAGGCGGCTTGTTTGCCCGTCCGCCTTTCGGCCGCGTTGCGTCAGTCGCACACCAGCTGCTCACGCACTCGGACGTGTTTCCCCGCATCCAATCCGCAACCGCCTGGTTTCGCACCGCTCCGCTTCGTGCCGCCAACAACAAACAACAGTTGGCCCGAAGAATAACAATAGCTGGCCAGCGGTTAAGTGGAGCGGACTGGAGTTTCAACGGGCGGCTGGCCATTGTACAAAAACATGTAATGTGACAAGAGAAGATGGACTTCCAGAATCGCAACAATACGGCCAACAAGTTCGTCTGCCCGAGCGACAGACAACTGGCCCTGCGTGCCAAGTAAGTACGAATGCAGTTGCAGTGTACGCTGTACTCTGCCCGTTATCCTCCAAATTTCAATGCCACAAATGCAACAATTGGCTTTTGTGTGAGTGCGTCACAGCAGCTGCAGCAGATAACGGTTCTTGTGATTGTGTTTTTTTTTTGTGGAATTTTTTTGCGGTGTGCGTCTGTGAGTTAGAAACAAAAACAAAGCAACAATTTGACAAAAGCTTTGGCCATAATTTAATTAACTTTGCGTCTGTGTGCGTGTGGTTGCGGCTGATTAGCCGAAAGCCTAATCAAATGAAATACATGTGCGCACTCACACAGCTGCGAGAACAGATGAAGAGCGGTGGAGAGGGAGGGGGAGAAGGAGAAGGGGAAGAGAGAGAGAGAGTGTCCCTGAGCTGTTCAAGGAAAGCCGCGTGTGACCATGTGTTCTGTGCGAACTCTAATCATAATTGTTGCATGCTGACAGACTAATTAAATTTTAATAACGCTCAATTTTTTTACGATATCCCAGCCAGTTTTACGGTTACTGCCCCTCGCTGAGGGTTTCATTTATTTATTGCAATTGGCGGAGAGCTAAAAAGGGAAAAGAGAAGAGAAAAAGGCGCGGGCCATTTACATGATTTGTGAAACACGCCCAACGAGTATATCCCCAACATATGTTCGTGTAGCATACTGTTTCGGGCCAACCAACTCGACTCAAATCAATCCCAGCTGACTGTAAATGCGACTTGGGCGCATTAAAAATACAAAAACGCCGCACACAGACATGCACAGACACGCACAGCGGGAGTCAGCGGGGTGATGAGGGGGGGTCGAATTATGGGAGAGGGCGAAGAAGAAGAGGAGGAGAGGTGAAGGTTGGCAGGTTTCAAGTGTGCAATTTACACTTCCGCTCGCCCGCTACATTGTAAGCACTCACGCACACAGACAATCTGGTTAGGGTGGACCCACACCAACGAAATAATGTAATTTATAATAATATAATGAACAACTAAATGCAAGAGATATTTATAAATTGAATATTTCACAAATATACATGTTTAACATAAACTTGTTAGTTTACCTGCACCGTATTGGGTCCCTTATCATATTTTTATCACTTGGATGAGTAATATTTTTGTCCTTCATCTTACTTAGTTTTTGTTAGAGGGGTTCCAGTTAATGGTGAAATAAAAAGAGACCTCACTGCGTATGAGTATTACTGAAACGTAAATTATATATTTTTTTGTCTTGAGTAAAATAAACCTTTGTTAACAAAAATTTTGAAAGTAAAGAAGTCAAGAAAAAATTGTAATTAGTGAGTAATTCAGTAAAACAAAATAAATGTAAAATGTAACATTGCGTATACGTGATAATTTCTGATAAATCATGTAGATTTGTATATACGTATACGCACTGTTTCTCTTGTATTTGTTTCTCTTGTAAATTTTTTTCTCAATACCAACTCGAGTTGATCCTTTTCAAATAAAGTTCTTGAGTTCCGGATAAACTTAACGCTACAAAAAAATAAAAAAATAACATTTGTGAATGCAACAGTGCGTATAAGCGATATATACTAAAAACAGGGGAATTACAGATAATTTTTCCAATTGATTGCTCTCAGCAGAGCACCGTTAAAAAGGATTAAGATACCAGCAAGCCTTTTTCGTCAAACCAAGGACCACCCTAGCTGGCTGGCAAGCACTCCAATACCCAGCAGCATAGAAACAAAGAGCTTTTCACTCTTCCAGCGAGTGGGGGTTGCGACGGGGTGGTCAGAGCAAAGTGTTCCGGGGACTGGGAGTTGCGGGGAGCGCCGGGCGGCCCGTACTTGAAATTCAAATTACAGCTCAAGGGAGTCCCTCAACCACGTAGATTCGCAGCGCAGCACTGAAGGCCTGAAGGAGGCCGAAACGCAAGTGGAGAATTAACGTGAAACTCAAATCGCGGCCACATGCCAGACTCCGCACTCCGCACTCTGAACTCCATGCTGCCACCTCCGCACTCCATTGCTCCAGTTTTCCAGTTCGGCATGCTTAACTATGCAAATGAGACGATCTTTGCGAGGCCACCAAATCTGACGACAAGCACTTTGACTTTTATTAAATTCAACTCAAACCGCAAAGTAACAGAGGCGACATTTATTTGGTAATCCCCAACAAGGGACTGTTAAAAAAGAGGCAACTAAGACTCACATGACGAAGAACCTCCGACACAACTGAGGGAAAAAGTTTTTCTTCTACCCGCAAATATAATAATAAAGCTGCAATGTATTGAATTTAAATCGGAAGCACACCAACACAAAGCTCTTTTCCTCCTTTTTTTTAAAGGAAGTCAAGCTTCTCGTTGTATTTGCTTTCGCTCTGCCCTTTTTTCGCTGAATTTAATTTCACTTGCGAACTGAAGAAGCACAAGTACAATTGTAAATCGAGTGACTTGAGGCTTCTTATTATTATGACTTTTATTTTTGTTCTCGTTCACGAACTTCTCAATTAAAATTTAAAGGTCTTTGCGTTGAGGCGGGTACGCACCAGAATGACTTTTAACCGCTTAAACAAACTTAGAGGAACTTGAAAAATACTTTGTTGTGAACCAATCAAATATACAAAATCATTACAAATTTTAATCAATTTTTATTAGGACCATATAAGTATTTTATTTTTATTACAAATTCTAATGCTATTTCCCCATTATTTACGTTCCGAAAATAAGGCATTTCAAGGTAAATTCCGAGCCTAATAACAAAATGCCTGCTTATCCTTTGAACGATTACAGCCCGTGTAAGCCACGTTAAGGCAAACAATTGACTTTGTCATGCAGTCATGTGTGAGCAAAGTTATTTTCTCTTATTGTTTTTGTGCGACAGATACGGTTTATGCTTTCGAGCAATCGCAGTTGAGTTCATGGTTAACTTTCGTGCAAAAGTGATTTGGGAGTGATTCCGTGAAATGGGCTTCGCAGAAGGACGGTTGGGAGAAATCAGATTTTGTGTTACAATAAACTCCGGCCCAACCATCAATTTGGGCGCTCGGCTCAAACAGGACTTTATCCCTGTTCCTGGGGACATGGGTTAATGTCACTCAAGTGCGGCGATCAGGCAAAAGTTCGAGAGCCTGGAGTGCGGCTCCCAATTTATTTGCTTATGCGGAGAAACCTCGTTGCCACAGAGGCAAATGTTGATAGAGCACTAACCGCGTTTGTAATTTAATTATTATGTTAGGGAACCTGCAAGGGCATTTAAGCAACCGCCCACCGAAAAACCACCCAAAACCAAGCCCACACGAACTGCGGAGCCAGCGCACATGGCCTCACAATCAATTATACGTATAAAGCATATATGTATGTATATATACGTACAAGGGAAGTCAATAAACCCGGCATGAAGGCAACACGCACACGCTCGTTGCTCTCTCAAAAAAAAAAAAAAAAACAAAAAACGAAGCTGAATCATAAAAAGCCGAAACGAAACAATCAGGAACTATGCAAATAAGCCAGCTAAAAGTTTACAAGTTGCCATCTATTATGCTGTGCGGTTTAATTCGCTTAGCTCTGAAAATGTATTTAGTTTTCATACACGAGGACATTCAACTTTGTCGCATCCAACCTTAATTATTCGGAGCACCGTAGAAATCTCTAGAGGTTTGATACCTCTTTAAAAGGTGTCTAAAAGTATGCTGTAGAAAATACAAAAACAGCTTTTGCATTCATCGTAGACTAGATTCCGGATGTAAATTATATAAAATTGTAATATATACATATTTTTTTTAAAGCTTTGTATCGTGTAAAACGACGATATTTTGATTTAATTGGAAACCTTATCCCTACCTGAAAAAATGTAACATTCAATCATTTACTTAGCCCCCAACAACATTTGGATATTAAGTGGCATATTGGTTGGTGAAATAATTAGGTACTAATATCCTTAAAAAGCAATCCAATAATATTGGGAAGCGGAAACCATGGTTTTGACCTTTCCCGACGAAATTTAGCTCTCCACAGACTCTTCCGCTGTGTAAGTAATGGGTGAAATGAACCGAGTGCTCGGGAGCCAACCAACAACAAGTTAATTAACTTTGAACCTGAAATTTTCGGCCAAGTGGCCGGGCAACATGGAAACCGCATTAGGCGACCCACAACTAACGATGCTCATTAGGCAGGAACTCATCCCGAGCCACCCACTTTTACACCTTTTACACATTTGCGTGGAGTTTGCGGCGCATTAATAATTACCCCTTTCCCCTTCAATTCTATTTAGCCGCACACAAATTAACTTATAATGGAATTCCACGCGTAATACGTTGATTGTTTAAAATCATAATTGGTACAAATGAGTTGGGCAGATATTGAATCAAATTTGCAATGTCCACGTTTAATTTGGTTGAACGGGTGCTTGTGCACATATTTAACTAGCCAACTGCAACAAAACCAGTTTATTATTATAGTTGGTAGTTGTAAAAAAATCTCTAGAGGTTTAAGAACATTTTTAAACTGTGCCTAAAAGCATGCTGCGTATGTTTCAGGTTTGATCCTTTGTAATTTATAGATAGTTATATCACGCAGTATTCGTTTAGACCCTTGTAATTTATTTTAAATTTATTTAAGGTTTCATCGGGCATTTTAGGATAAGTGATGGTTTTACTGTTTCACAGTGCATATAAGCCAATTCACTTAGACCACCACTATGAATGATGAACTTGCCGCTCTCTAGGGATTTCTGTGGTGCACACGCATAATGCAAAACAAAGTGAAAACCGTAGTTTTGTGGCTCACTGAACAGTTTACTATGCACATATTCCACTTACGTAGGAGAACTGCATTTTACCAAAGGGATACACAGATATCACTAGAGACTTAGAGCCACTTAAGAGTTTTGCTAAACAGCATTCTGCAGAAAATGTGGTATGGTTTTAAAAGGAAACGGTTTTCAAATGTATTACCGTTTTCCCCCCTTTACTGGAAATCTTCATATGTTTCGCCGTAAAGAGTATTACATCTCTAAATTTGTTTGGCAAACATATCATTTAAAGTTTACTTTCAGTAGTAACTTATGCATACTACAAGTTTTACCTTGTACATATTAACTCCTTACTTAACTTTATGAATTCTCTTTTGCACATTGATATCAATTAAAAGTGCTGGGATTGATGACTTAAGCTGACCTCTATGTTAACACAGTGTAATTCGTATTGAGGCCAATGTGTAAAAGCCGATTAACCTTCACGATATATTATTCCCTTTTTCCGTGCAGATTGAAGGCCGGCTGGAGCTGCTCGAAGACCAGCGAGCCGCTGCGCCCGGAGGAGCAGGAGGCCATCATCTCGGTGATCCGGCGCAACGAGGAGATCGAGGTGGCGGAGCGGCAGCGGGTCGGCCGGCTGGTGGAGCGGGTGGAGAAGATCAAGCAGCACGCGGTGGAGCGGGGACCCAACTGCTGTCGCCTCTGCGGCGACACGTTCGGCATCCTGCGGCCGCAGCGCATCCTCTGCGAGGACTGCCGCCAGTCGGTGTGCACCAAGTGCAGCGTGGACATCAACATCCGCTACCACACCAGCGAGCGGTCCCGCGAGATCTGGCTCTGTCGCATCTGCTCCGAGACGCGCGAGATGTGGAAGAAGTCCGGCGCGTGGTTCTTCAAGGGCCTGCCCAAGTACGATATGCCGCGCAGCGCCAGTGCCACGCCCATTCCGAACCCGGGACCAGGATCCATGGCAGGTGGGTGGCATCCAATCGAGGGCACAGAGCACAGAAAACGGGGGGCTTGGGTACGGATATGGGGTTGCGATGTGCTGGTGCCTCGTGAATGGGAGGCAAATGATGGCAGACACTGGACGTGCCGGGAATGAAAACCCTTTGCCCTCGTTCCTTTTAGTTCGGCTGGAAGGGCATTTCGGGGACATCAGTAATTTAAGGACAATACCATTAGTTTACCAAACACAATTACCGAAATGCTTGAGATACACTTGCGTACTCTCCTAGCTAAGCAAATTACATTACATATAATATTTTTTTGTCATAAACCATTTTTAAAGAAGACTTAAAGTAGTATTACATAGTAACTCATGCATATCACATTTTTTACTCATGCTTGACTTCATGGATTTTGCGTGCTTCTAAGGAAAGGTTATATATTTTGTTATTCTCGTCTGAAGATTGCGGTGTTTATTTGGTAAAGCAAAATGAAACCGCAAATAATTAATTCAAATTTCAGAAAAACACTCTTCAAGAACAAGTCCAAGTCCTCTGCAATATAAAAGCAGAACAAAGAACAACAAAAACTAAAACCCCCCAATAGCATTTTCATGGCCGATTCTCATATTCATCACACAGAATTTTTCACGGTTGTCTAGAGTCAAGGTCAAACATTTTATTGCACTTCAGACACGAGTGTTTAAGGCCACACGACATATGCATATATGTTCCGGCGAAATTGTTTATTGCCCTCATTAATTTTTAACCGCTTAAAAGCCACAGTCATCGATTTAACATCTCTGAAAACTTCAAACTTAAAGTCCGGATATTGTAATCATAGGCAGAGTTCAATCCATTTTTTTTTTTTGGTAGTATTTAATTATTTTCAACAAGGGATTGTATGCATATTTGATGTCATCATAATAAAGTAAAACCTTAAAATACCTAATCATGTTTAGTCACAAAAAATTGTTTTTTCATGTGCTTTTTTTGTGGAATGCTGAATGTGTTAGACATTACGAAACCCACAACCGTTTTTAAAACAGCTAAATGCAGCAATTGTTTTCGAATCTCGTTTCAGGAACATCATGAAATGTTTCCATTCCCATAGACCAATTGCAAATAAATTGTTATAGACGCTTCTTTATGGTAACCATTAGTACAACCTCCACCCGGATGGGTTGAAATTAAAAGCCAATAAGTGTAGTTGTTCAGAGTCATTTAGCAATACCATCTCCAAATCGGTTCGATAAAAATGACATTGAAATTAATAATGGCACTAGAATTCGTTTCGAATTCCACTGATGTTTCTACCATTCCAGCTCAAAATCATCAGTCTTCGATAGATATAATCTTTCATTTAGAGCAACACAACAACAAAGCTTCGACCTATCAACGACTATCGCTATTATCATCGTAGTACCATCGCTGTAATCGGTTATCTGTCTAGTTTATCGCTTATCGCAAAGATCGCATTCTGTGAATCGGAATTCGATAAAAACAGTTTGTAGGGATTTCCCCCAAATATTATGCTGAACAGTTTTAAATGAGTGTATTTCGATTGCTATCGTTAGCGATAGAGCGCAGTCATAATCGAAAATCATCACTGTACGACTATCGCTATTATCGCGTGAAACCAAGAATCGGAATTGCACCTTGGCTTGGCCGGTTGGAAAGGTAATGCCCCCCCCCATTCCAGTCCGAATGCCCCATCAAATCCAGACCGATACGACTGACAGGCAATTGTTATCGGGAAAATCGAGAACCCATCGATAGACGTCTATCGCTAATCGCTGTCTTTGTCTCTGTCCTCGCAGGAGACACGCGGGCCGTTCAAAGTTGCCATGCGACGCCGACGCGTCCGGCGCGCGTGAAGAAGCTGACGATCCGGGTGAACGACAGCAGTTCCAGCAGCAGTGGACACTCCGAGCCGGAGGACGAGGTGGACGCCGGCGTGGGCGGCGTCGTCGGAGCCGGGGGCGTGGCCAAGGGCGCACCATCGACTCGACTGCAGCGGGAGGACAGCTTTCGGCTGCGAGCCTACGGCTCCATACGCAGCTTCATCGACGGAGGCGAGCGGAAGCTGTCGAACTCCTTCTTCTTTGGCCGCCAGCAGAGCCAGCGGCCATCGGAGTGTCCGGACTACGACAGCGTCAGCATGTCGAAGCTGAGGCGGGAGAGCAGCTTCCTGCGCCGGGGATCGGTCAGCTCCTCGTGGTCGATTAGCGATAGTTCTGGATCAGGTTCGGGTTCCGGTAACTCCGGCAACTCCCAATCTCAGTCCCAATCCCAATCCCAGTCGCAATCGCAATCGCAGTTCCAGCAGCAGCAGCACCAGCAGCACTGCCGGGATCCCCTGCTCGGTTGGCTGGAGATCGCCATTAGCTACCGGGAGGCGTTCCACAGCCTCGACTGCACGATGGTGCGGGCCCGCGATCTGCCGGCCATGGACGCCGCCGGGCTGGCCGATCCCTACTGCAAGCTGAACATCATCACCCCGGAGGCGCACACCAAGTACACGCGGTGGCAGCGCACCAAGACGGTGCACAAGACCCGCAACCCGGAGTTCAACGAGACGCTGCAGTTCGTCGGCGTGGAGCCCGAGGAGCTCGGCAACTCGCTGCTCTACGTGGCCCTCTTCGACGACGACAAGTACGGCCACGACTTCCTCGGCGCCGCCAAGGTCTGCCTTTCCACGGTGAGTGCACACTTGGGAAAAACTCAGTTTACTTGCATTTAAATCCATTTTATTTGGAAAAATTATTTAAATATCAAAAGAACCGGAGAATTTTGGCAAGCCTTTAAAAGTTCATTTTGTGTTTCGCGCTTTTTACTACACATAGTTATACTATATTTGATACTTATTTAAAATACTTCAATAAATCTATTTTATTTTCTATATTTAAATCTTAGAGTTTATTTAAATATATATTATATGTTCTTGGCACTCCAGTCACGTCGTTTTTTTAAGTGCACAGCTTCCCATCCTTTAGGAAACGTAATTGCTTAAAAGAGCCTCCGGCCTTTCCTGCTACCAACCAAATTTAGACAGAAACGTTTTGCCGCAAAGGTAACATAATTTTATAAAGCGAAGTACTTTTCCGGTTGGTTACTTTTCTTTGACTTTGAGCTTTTTCAGTTCGAGCAACAAGCAAATTGGTTTCAAAACATTTAAACTACAACTTTTCAATGAACACGAAAGTCTGTGGGGAATAAAAGAATAAAGAAACAAATAAACAAACTACTTGTTTATAAGGGTTTCCTTTAAACCCGTTCAGATATTTTGATTCTAATGATACTGAAAAAAAATGATTCGATTTAACATACTTATTTTTAAAAAATAATGCAATTTGTAGCGAAAAAAAGATTCTTAAATGAGATGCACAACATATGTTGTACAATACATTACAACAAATTTAAAAAAAATTTTAAAAATACCTGAAAGAGTATTGTACGAGTATAATTGGTTCTCTACCTTTTATTCAAAGAAAATTGTATTTACTTCGAAATATCCATTGCTCTGAAAAGTTTATTAGATTGCGCAGAAATTTGTTATGAGTAAAGCATATTTTAGTGGACGAACCCTGTTAACCTAAATCAAATAATAAGCATTCGATCCAATTGCAGGTGCACAGCACCGCGCAGTACCGCATCTCGGTTCCTTTGGGAGTGGAGGACCAGTACAGCAACGCGGCGGAGATGGCCCAGAATTGGCCCAACGGCAAGATGCTCCTCTCCCTCTGCTACAACACCAAGAGAAGGGCTCTGGTGGTGAACGTGAAGCAGTGCATCAACCTGATGGCGATGGACAACAACGGCAGCTCCGATCCCTTTGTCAAAATGTAAGTTTTACAGGAAGGAAACAAGTTTAAGTTTTAGATTACAAAACAAGATTGAACGATTGATTCTTTTTATGAATCGAAAATTACGCATTTCTAATTTCTCTGTCTAGTAACTAACTAATTTTACTAATTTTATCCTACTTCTCAATTAGCCAACTCAAGCCGGATGCGCACAAGAACAAGAAGCACAAGACCAGCGTCAAGTGGCGCACGCTCAACCCGATCTTCAACGAGGAGTTCTACTTCGAGGCGAGTCCGCACGACCTCAACAAGGAGATGCTCATCCTGACCGTCTGGGACAAGGACCTGGGCAAGAGCAACGACTTCCTCGGCAGCCTGCAGCTGGGATCCCAGAGCAAGGGCGATCGCCTGCAGCAGTGGCTCGACTGCATCCGGTTGCCGGACCACTTCCACGAGAAGTGGCATTGCCTCGCCCCCGACAATCCCGCCCACTGAGAAACCCTCCCTGCCCCGCCCCGCCCCGCCAACGCTGCCCCTCCGAACCGAACTCGATCCACCCCGAAATCCGGTCGGCTTGAACTTATCTAAGCCGACTTGGAGCTCCTCCCCGTAAGAAATATTTTCGCGAACTGATTTCTCCGCCCACTTGCGAAACATCCAATAGAATTTTAAATGAATCACAATAGTTTTAATATTTGCCCTTGTAAACAGTCTTTCAGGAAATATACCTTGTAATTGTTTTCCACATTTTTTACATAGTTTAGTATTCGAATAAATAGTTGACATAGAAGTAGTTCCACGTATCTAGTAAATTAACCCTTTAAAGCGAGCTTTTTAAAATATTCAATACCTTTTATAGAAACATCTTGAAGATTACAAGTCCCATTAAACACCAAATTGTAGTAGATCTTTATAATATTAGGTGCGGTAAATACAAGATCACACCAATGGGAATGGAAATATCTCAGATTTTCCAAGCTCAGATCTGGGCAAAAAAAAAGAAAAGAAAGGAGTTACGCTGAAACTAAGCAGAGAAATCAGGTCGCGAAAATAAGGCTTTAGCTCCAAATATACACATATTATATATTAACATATACATACATATATACATATATATTATATACATATATTTTTGATAAGCCTGAGTGGGTGTGAGTAAGCGAGAACAAGCTAAAGAGAGAGCGAGAGAGCGCGAGAATCGCTGTGTGTTTGTGTGACTGCTTTCCAAAATTCTCGTACGTAACCCCCATTTTTCTATGTCTATACTTTGGCTCTTAACGGCATTTTTGTACACTGTATATAGCTTGTTTAAGTGTCCTTACCAAGGGTTAACCAACATCAAAATCTTTTCGATTCATTGCTAAATTCAATCTATAATTAAACGTAACTTATGTACTTCAATATATCGAAATATATACATCTATATTCTCAAAAAATAGTTATTGTTTCTTTCTTTTGAAGTCCTACAAATTGAATATCTGTTGGCCATTGCCAACAGTTGATAGGAAAGCTAAAAAACTTAACAATATTTGGTGTGCTGATAAGATTCAACCCTGCTGATAAGGTTTAACCCTTCCCAAGTCGGCAGCATAATCAATAAAACCCTTTCGCTTCGTTTAGTTTCAGTTCACATTTAATAAGTTTGGCAGAGTTTATAACTTGAAGCGAGCTTCATTATAATAGTAAACATCCAACACTATACAAATAGAGATTAACATCTATGTACATATAGCGAGCCAAATAAGTAAGCGGCCAACAAACGCGTTGCGCTCGATTTAGGTAAAGATATATGTAGCAAATATATGAAGATTACATAGTTTCTATACAGATCGGTTCGCCTGTAAACACTTAATATTAGGTTTCTGCCAACCAGACAGAATGGATTGGGTATACACATGTATATGCGGGCGATTCGAGGTAACCTCCGGCGCCACCAAAAAACGGGGGAATCTATATCGGAATCGTGATCCGCGATTCCAATGAGAGACTTAACCTAGCACTGGCAAAACTCCAGGGGGAAAGGGTGTGCTGTCCGAGCGTTTGGTTCTCTCCAATCTTCAATCCTCTCACTTGCGATCGAATAGGCGGGCGTAGTCGAGCAGGCTGCCTGCTCCAGGTGGTCGGTGGCGATGCTGATGCTGCTGCTGTTGCTCCTGCTGCTGCTGAAGCTGCAGCTGCTGATGTTGCTGCTGCATCTGCTGATGCTGATGCTGTTGATGGTGTTGCTGCCGTTGGACAGGGCCAGACGAGCCTCCGCCTCCTCCTCCTCCTCCTCCGCTGCCCATCTCCGCCGCAGCCGAGGTCGTATGTTAGAAGAGACGCTTCTCGTAACTGAAGAGGCCGTGGACATTGCCCTCCAGCTGAGCGGAATGGGTGCGCTTCATGAAGCGCAGTTGGCCGTTGTAGATCATGTCCCTGCGAAGAAATAAAAAAAGGTAAGGAACAGTGTAAAAAACTTAATCAGAAAGGAAGAGTTAAAATAGTAAAGAAAAGCTAGTGGTTTTCAAGATGAATAGATCTCAAAAACCTATGAATGGAACAGTTTTGAGAACTCAGGCAAACATCCAATTTTTCAATTTATATTTGCCTGCAGAGCAGTACCAAGAAGGCCCATTCTTCAGATTCATTTGCCTTGTTTCTAATTTGTTTCTGAGTCTGCTATTGAATACAGTACTTGTGATTGTACTCCTCATTAACCAACAATAGTTTTCTTACTTGACTCCTTATTACTTATTAATGGCAAGCTCTTAAGTACCTCAACTTGCTGACGGAGTTGGCGCCGATGTCCTGACAGCTGTGCTGCAGTCCGCACTCCAGGTAGGGCAGGTACCGCAGGACACTGCCCTTGTCCACGATGCTGCCGCTGACGCCCTGGGCGACCTTCATCTTGTCCATCTCGTTGTGGTAGTAACGCGACATGGCAGCGCCCTTGGCGTCGCCGCGCTCCATCGCCTCCAGGGAGCCCATGCCGCGGTACTTCTTCAGGCGGACGCCGTCGGAGAAGAAGTACTCGCCGGGCGCCTCCGAGGTGCCGGCCAGCAGGGAGCCCATCATCACGGCACTCGCCCCCAACGCAATAGCCTTCACGATGTGCCCGATCGACTGGATGCCTCCGTCGGCGATCACCGGCACTCCGAACTGGCGGGCGTACGTGGACACCTGGTAGACGGCCGTCGCCTGCGGACAGCCGCAGGCCATCACCTCCTGGGTGATGCAGATCGAGCCGGAGCCCATGCCCACACGCAGCCCATCCACGCCGGCCTCGATGAGGTTTTTGGCCTGGGCGCGGGTAACAACTGGGGAATACAAAAAATAATTAATATGAATTTATAGAATTAGAAAGATTCACAAGAAAATCCTCCTTTGGAGAGTCTTCGGTAATAAATAAATTAATAATAATAATTTTATTTACATTATTATTTTATTTACAAGAACTACTGTATCCACGACTTCCTGAAAGCAAATTTGCAAGGAAAAATTATCTTCGTTCGCCCAATAATCATCTCGTTTTATCAAAGATAACAATATGGTTGAGCTCGATATTGCCATAATTATATGTACTTGATCGCAAGGTAATTTGACATAGCAATAGATAATAAAGCAATTAAATTGCTTTCAAAACATTATTTGTGGACTTTATCTTCAAGTATTTGGGAGTGTACTTTTGTTTTAATTATGTCAATTTATAATACATATGTACGATCCAGTTTATATGGGTTTCCACCATTTGTTTTTGTTTACAAAAATACCTTTAAAAGCGTATTTACCTAACTTAACAAACATTTGTTTGTATTCTATTTTTACTTTCCAATGAAAAAATTTACAGATAGCCAAATTGATTACTGATTAGGCTGTTGACCATTAAAAATTGCTTTTTCTTTTTGAAATCCGGAGATTTAAATATTTTGGAATACATATATATGTGTACGTTGGATAAGCAAATGATGAACTATTCTTCCCAAAAACTTCTTACAAATCCATCTTACTTTGAAGAATTATTCAGTCCAAAAAATTTAAACCCTACTAATACTTTTGTTAAAACTTTAAAACAATAATGATCTATTCTTTTATTCTATTTCATCGAAAAAACAGGTTCGTAAGTAACAATCGGAAAAGTTGTACATTTTTGTACAATGAGCAATGGGTAAAGTTCTAACCCAAAAGTTTGCATACAATTCTAAATATAAAATGGTTGAAAATGTTCTTTACAAGGCAAAAACTTCATATAAAACTAAAACATATTATGCGAAAATGAAGAGTAAAATCTTCCCGAATACTCACCGTTGCCGCCGATGACCTGGAGCTCGGGATAGGTCTCCTTCATGTACTTGATCATCTCCACTTGGTAGACGGAGTTGCCCTGTGAGGAATCCAGCACGATGACGTCCACTCCATTGGCCACGAGGAGAGCCAGTCGCGCCTTGTCCTCCGCGCGCGTTCCAATGGCGGCGCCGACGAGGAGCTGCTTGTTGGAGTCCTTCGAGGCGTTCGGGTAGGAGCGGGCCTTCTTCAGATCCGTTCGCGCGATCATGGCCACCAGCTCGCCATCTTGGTTGACAATCGGCAGCTTGCCCATCTTGCTCTTCTCGAGGATGGCGTTCGCCGTGGGCAGGTTGATGCCGTTGGGCGCGGTGATCAGCTCGGTGGTCATGATGTCGGCCAGGAGCACCTCCGGCTGGTTCTCGCGGAAGTCGATGTCCCGCGACGTGACCATGCCCAGCAGCTTGCCGCCCAGCTTGCCGTTGGCCGTCACCGGATAGCCGGTGAAGCCGTTCTTGCGCCGTGCCTCCAATACATCACCGACCGTGTTCGTGGGCGACATCACCGAGGGGTCGCGCATGAAGCCGTGCTTGTACTTCTTAACCTTGTGCACCTCCAACGCCTGGTACTCCGGCGTGCAGTTGTGATGGATGATGCCAATGCCACCACACAGCTGCGCGCGGGATTTCGAATGTGGTGGTGGTGGTGTGAAGGTGTTAGAAGTTGGATGGTCGATGGTCGATGTTCGATGGTCCATGATCGATGAGATCCATGAGCGAGATGCGGCATTTTGAATAGAAACATCATTGGCGGTTAGAGAGGCGCATAAGAGTGTTGAGTTACAACCACAGGCTAGCACGGCACAGGCGAACCCGCCAGCGGTTCTGTGCCGTACATGGACTGGAGCGACTAGCACATCTGATACTTACCGCCATGGCGATGGCCATCTCCGACTCGGTTACCGTGTCCATGGGCGAGCTAACCAGCGGCGCTCGCAGCGTCAGCGACTTGGTCAGCGGCGAACTGAGGTCGACCTCCTCGGCGGTGAAGTCTATGTAGCCGGGTAATATGAGAAAGTCGCTGTGGGGTTTCAACGGGATTTCGGAAGGGGTAATGACATGGCAATCGATCGGAACGTTCATGAAACAGCCGCACACTCACTTGTAGGTCAGTCCGTCGCCGTTCTGGAACAGCTCGGCGCAGCTGAGGCCGTCCTGCAGCTGCACATCCACCGGGGATCCCTTCGCCTTGGCGTCACCACCTGCCTGGGAGGAGGCGGCTCCTGCCGCGTCCACAAAGCCATTCACCTTCGGCTTGCTCTCCATTTTCCGCGTGCGTTCAACCCAAAACAGCCAAACAGACAAACAACGGTTGGCTGGCGAAAACAAGCCAGTCAGAGATAAACGCCGGCGGTTCCCAAAAAAGTCTCCTCCTGTTGCAGTGCCTTATTGCTTCTTCCGATTCTCGGACGTGGATACACAGGTTCCCCGAGAGCTTTTGAGACGCAATTAGAGGCGCACGCACACGAAGGCGGCGAAATGGGGGGAAAGCACGGCGGAGAAAGACAATTGATTTGGAGGAAAGGTTAATTGCTGGGCTATGCGCATCGCTGTGCCAGCGAGCACATGGTTATGGGGCTCTTACCAGTCCGCTGGATCCAAAAACGTGCACTTGGAGTTTCGTGAAATTTCGTGTGCTGGTGTGGCAGCCATTTAAATACACTTTGGCCCCCCACTGAAAACTCACTAAATTTGGCCACAGAGTGTAAGAGGCGCTCTGCGGCTTAATAGGGGGTTCGCGGGGCTGCAACACTAAAGCGCGCCATAACTTAGCTTCCACTTTAAATACAAGATCGTTAGAAAAAAAACACGTTTAGAAGCATTTCGTATTTAAATTAACAAAATAATACACAGCAGAGGCAGTGAATATAGTTGATCATACTTACATAAGGAATAAACTCGGTCGACGGTAAGGTACACTATAATAACATTCTGTATTTCTTAATACAGAACACTCGTGTGATCCCCAAAACCAATCTTGCTCCTTAAGGCGGAAACCTTCTTCATCAGGAACAAGAATTTAATTCTTTTGGAACCCATTCATTTTTGTAATTTGTATACGCCATTTCAAAATTGTAGAATTATTTTTTTCATATTTATTTATTTTTCTCAAGTAAATTTCTTAACAATGACTGTATCGCTACAGTTGGTAGGTGTCTTCACTAGACAGGAAAATATATTCGCAGTTTTAGAAGTATGATTTCGCTATATTAGGAGGGTGTATCCGCTTAGTTATCGTAAGGATATCGATGTTGAATGCTAGAGGTGGCAAAACGCCCATAGTCGCCGTTAAACATCGATTTTTCATCGCCGTCTGCGGACAGATATTTCCGTTCGGGGCAGTTTTTTTTTTATCATAGTATAATTATCGTTCGCGTGGTTCTTTTAGAGAATTAACCCATTTAAGAAAACGTTATCCCAAGTAAAATTTCTGTTAACCAAGTTAAAAAAGGGGCCTCTAACGGACGAACTTGGCAACAACCGCTGGTGGGGTAATTGACTAAGGCCATTTTTAGCCCCGTGCACGGCATAAGGGTTAAACAACACACTCTATTCCGGTTTCTTTCGCACTCACGAGAAAACACCCCTTTTCACTCGCACTCATTGCAGTGCGCAATAATGGACTGACGGATCCGTCGAGACTGCCTTATACTTATTCTACCATGTCAGATGCTCTTTGGCGGTTGGCCGCTTCACTTGCCAGTGTGACTCCAGGCCGACTCTCCAGGCCGAGTGTGTGTGTGTGTAGTGGTTGTGCTAGCAGAGTGTTGCAGAAACTGAAAGGGCAGCGGCTAAATTGAACCGAAGTGAACAGACCGAATAAAAAATTTTAAACGAGCTGAAACCACACCGGGACTTAAATTTCTATTTCCACGCGACAGCCGCAGCTGAGTAAAATAGCACAGTACGGGATTTTGGGCCCTCTTCTTCGTTCACATACATGCGTACCTGGGCAGAGAGATTCAGATTAACCGCCACCTCCCCCCGCCAACGTTGTTGCTGTCGTTCCGCCGCCGCTCTCACGTAATCCGCCCCCGCACCGCCCACCGCCCCACAAACTGATAGACCGAAAATCGATTAGCGGCCGCTCTAGTGTGTGTGCACGCTGCGTTGCGTTACGTTACGGTTACCGTTACGTCGGCTCGTGTGCGTGGCCGTGAGTGTGTGTGCGTGTGCAAGGTGTGGTGTGTATAGAAATCGATTCGCCGCGTGTGCCGTTACGCGATTTTCAACAGCAGCCGCCGCAGAAATATTGCTTTTATTTTTTTGCCTGTGAGTCCTCCAAAGTGAGTGTGACCGCGAGAGAAAAGGAGAGATAGAGAGAGAGAGAGACAAAACGGGCTCTCCCCAAATAAAATAAAGAAACACAAAAAAAAGAAGAAAACACCGGACATGGATAAATCAGCGGCCACGAACTCGGCCACTGCCGATGGCCAAAACGAGGCAGCAACAGCAGCTGGGTGTGGCAGCAGCAGCAGCAACACCACCAGCAACAACAACGCGCTGCAGCGCCTGGCAACAACAACAACAAGTGCCGTTGCGGCTTCCCCGATGATGATCAACCTGAATATCAGCACCACGACCGGCGGCAATTTCGGCGTCAGCGTCGAACCGCACATTTCGGTCGAGAGTCTGAAGAAGATCATCGCCAAGAAGCTGAAGGTGGTCAAGGATCGCATCCGCCTGCTGCACCGCGAAAAGTGAGTACAAACGGGGCTTTTATTGGCCGGTAACCCTGTCGATTTTCTCCCTTGAAATCTTATGGTTTCACAGATCTCCTTTAAATTTTGAATCATGTCAATGTGCTGAACAAAAGTTCAATAAGATTTTGCAAAGGCAGTATGTACTTTTATTTGCATGTTCGGTTTTCTTAGGCTTATTGGCTTTAAAATGTACTATTTGAGTTTTGTAAACCATTTTAGAGCGAGCTGAAGTTGAAACTCTTCTAAATGTTTTATTGAAGATTTTCTCAACCTTAAGTTTAAATTTTAAAACTGACTCACCGTTTTCAAACCTTTTTAATTTTGGATGTACATATGTAGTTTCCTGTACCTTTTGCATCTGAGTTTCAATTCAATCTGCAAAAGTGTGTTGCAAAATTGTCGGTATGGGGGATAACCGCCAAGTGTGTCACTTGCATATTTGCTTGAACTTCTTATGATTATGCCAATGAGGTAATATCCACACAGGAAATAACTGATAAAGCAAATAAATACTTCGAAATGTCAGTTTACCTTACATTGCGAATCAGGTTGAAAGTTCAGTTTTATTTCGAAATTCCCCCTTAATCAATAACCGCAATTCCAACTAATTCTACTGTTTTATACCCTTGTCGATTGTACTTAAGTTTTGACCAGAAATACAAACAACCAATTTACATATGCGTTGTATATATGTATGCATAAGCTCTTTAACTTTAACTTTTTTTTATTAGGGGTATTTCGACGTTTCCGAAACTTTAAAAAGGTTTTTGGGATTAGCCTTTAAAGGTTTATAATTTATATGGCAGAGTATTAATTCTTTGTCTTTCTTTTTCTGTCAGTTTCCCTCTGTTTTTAGAGCTTTGTTTAGTTAAATGCTTTTGATTATCGTTTATGTTATCGTCTTTCGCCGTACCCCACGCTCTCCCTCCGCAGCCCCCCTTTTCTAACCCCTTTGTTGAGCTTTGTTGGAGAGAGGTGTGCGTGTGTGTGTGTTTCAGTCGCTAAGCTGCCATTGTTTAGTTGATTTTGCTTGCTGTTCTCGTTATTATTATGATTATTATTGATATAACCTCCAAAAAAATGGCATATTTGAAGGGTTAAGCACAAAGTGCTTGAGTGTAGTGGTGCTATTGGTTGGGGAAGAGGGTGCCAATTGATCTAGACACATACACACTTACATACTCAAACTGCCAACGATTTCATAATCAATTTGGTTGTTTTTACGAAGCAACGCAATAAATAGTGTACAAAAAATGTGCGCATAACACAAAACCGGCAAAAAAAACGGTACAACAAAAAAACCAAACAAAAACAGAAGCAGAAGCAGAAAATAAAAAGCAAAGTAGAGGGAGCAGAGCAGTTCAGCGTCGACGTCATTGTTCCAACTAGTTGCATTACGCTGTTAACAGTCAAATGCTAGGTGCAACTGTTGATGTTAGTGCCGCTGTTACGACTTATGTACATACATACTTACATATGTATGTACATATGCATATTTCTGATTTCGAGATTTGATTTTACTGTTCTCGAGAGTTTACAAAATATTTAATGAAGTTCAATGCTTTATTTTTTGGGCTTTAGTTTTTTATATTTTACATTGCCTCGCAACAACATGTGTAAATTATGTACTTACATTTACATACATTCATAATTCCATTCCTTATTTCTGTATATTTGTAATGTGTTAAATGGTTAAACCCAAAATGCCGCTTCAGTCACGTGGTTGCGATTCTCGTTATTCTTAGATTGGTTATTTTCGAAACAAATACAAATTAGTAGAGTCAAAAGTTGTTATTTGAAGGGCCTGCATTCCTTTGGCTTGTCACATATGTGTGTGTATTATGTGTATTTGTGCATTACAGAGGCTTCGCAATAATGCGGGCTTCTCTCTCTTCTTTTCTCTCTCACTTTTGCATCCCACTCTCTGTTGCATTTATTTCTGCAAATAGATTTCTAATTGAGAGGAGTGACTGCCCTTCCCCTTTTCTTTTTTCTGCCTGCTTCGCCTTTGTCTGGCTTTTACTAAAAAAAAAAGAAAAAAAAACTTGACTGATAAGAATTTCACTCGCTTCTCCTTCTCTTTCGCCGTGTTGTTGCATCTGTTTTATGCCACTTTGCAGCAAGCAACAAAAGCAAATGGGCAATGGCGTCACGGTTTTTTTTACTCACATCTCTTTTGCGGCTCATTTTTTGTTGTTCTTGTTGTTGCTTCCACTTGAAGTTCTTTTTCATCTTTCTCTGCCGGCGTCGCATGTGAATGTGTGTGAGTGTGTGTGTGTATGGTGTGTGTGGCAGAGATTTTTGTGCCCGCTTCTCTTTGTTCTGCAATCAAATTGCTGCTTCTTCCTTTTCTCCTTCTTCTTCTTCTTCTTTGCCTCTTCTTCTTCTTGATGATGATGATGTTGGCAGGCTGCGCTTATCGGACATTCGGAAAATGGACTCTCCACGGCTCTTCTGCTTTGTCTGAATGTCATATGTTGGCTTATAACCCTAACAACAACAACAACAACAAGAAAGGGAGCAGAAGAATGACAAAAAGCAAAAGACGAATAAGAAAAAGAAGAAGAAGCCATAGATGCCACCCCCGCCAAAAACGAAATATATAAACTGATGCGGAAAAACCTACCACCCGGCTTAGCAAAAAAGCCTTTCGGTAAAAGCTTATTCACACCACCAATTCGGTGCTGTGAGAAATCCGAAAGGCAAAAAAACACCCGCCCGCAGAAAAAGCCGAAACAGAAGTGGAAAAAGAAGAAGCCACCACCGGCTAGAAGAAGCAGCAGCATGGCAGAAGAAAAAAAGTACACCGAAAAAATGATACAATTAAAAACTAAATGTCTAAATCCAGCTAAAAACTATATAACTTAAAGATGGCTATAACTGGGTTTGAAGATTGACAATAAGATTTGCAATATGTAAACTATTTACATTAAAAAATTATCATTTTACCTGCAGTGAAGTCTTAAAAACTGACTTAAGTTACTCGAATGCTTTCGGTGATAATTATTGGTTGTGTTTTGATTTGGATTGAATGGAAGATCAAACTTAAAAGTTCTATATTTGGTTGTAGTCAAATTAGCTTTTCTTCCAGTGCTGGGCAGCTAAAAGGCAAAAATGTTGAACACATCAGTGAATGAGAATTTCGTGCTGCCTGTAAGTCACCACCATCCAAACTGGTAAATGAATGACGAGAGGCGTCCAAACACCACCAAACGCGAATCTCCAGGTCGCTATACCCACTATTCATATTACTGTTGTGGAAAAAGGTGGCCGACCACAGGGAAACTGGCCAAATGGAAAATATGTTGGAAAAGTGGGAGAGTATTTGTTTCAAGGGCTAACCCTTTAAGCCACGTGGTTTCCTTGAATGATGGCAAGACCAGATGTAAAACGCATACTTTCGAAAGTGTAGCTCTAATTGTCAATTTAAAAAGATTTTTTGTGGAATAAGAAATAAGAAATATCACCCAACTGTGCTTTAACGTTATGAAGTATACAAATAGTAAATCCATCCTATTTTTGGCAACTTTGAAAAGCTGCTCCTAATTCGTTTTGAATATCATCAAGATACCGCCATAGCTGAAACCCATTAAAAAGTTATGTTCCTTTGTCTTTAGCAATATCAACCCTTTTAAACACGTGGTGGTGAAAGAAACCTGAACTGAACTGAACTGTTTCCATATAAACACGAAACCGGATTTCAAGTCGAGCCATATACAAATGTAACATAATATTGAAGTGCTTGTAAAACAGCCAAAAAGCTTATTATAAAGGTACACATAGATTACAAAAAAAAAAAAAGAAAATTGGATAGAAGGAGGATTTCCCTAAGTAGACAACTATCGAAAACTAAACCTAATGCACCAGTTTACTTTGTTAAGTTTTGCGATCTTTTATGAAAAAGTAATACACAATTGCACGAATAGAGGGGGCATAATGTCGTATCAGAATAATGCAAACAGATTAGATGTCCCCATTCCTATCAGGCTAGCCCCTCGACCCCCATTGCCCTTCCCTTCCTCCTTCCCTCCCCCCAATTAGTGGCGCACTCCCAAGGTGTGTGCTATATGTGACATAAGCCCAAGTCCCGGGGCCCGCGCCCCATAAAAGTCACCTTAGGGTTCTTCAGATAGAGCTACGTAATTGTATGAAACAACGCACACGCAAACAAACACCACCACCTACCCACCTACCACCTACCCCACCTTCCGATGATTTCGCTTGGCCCTGGGGCCTGTATTATCAACAGTTTTAATTTTAGTATGCGCTTTTTCTTCGTCTCTGTTCATAATTTTAAATCAAGAGGAAATAGGTGGGGCCACCACCCGGCAGTACGACGGGGGAAATCGGTGAAGTTTCGGGGCCCATGGCGACGTCATCAGCTAGTGGCGCGCGTGTTTCCACCTTCTGCTTACTTACAGTCGAACTCGTCCAAACCGAATTATTCAGAAAGTTTAAATACCATTGCTCTTTGAAATGTTTTGCCATGATGATGAAAAACATTAAACACGACAAACTTATAATATTTTTTGTTATAAGCATTTAAAAAAAATATGTTAAAAAAATTGTTGATATGTGTACTCATAACTTAAATTACTCACTGTTGTATTGAAAAAGAAATTGGGAATTAGAAATTCTTATCGTTACTGTAAACTGCGGTAGTAGAGAGTTAAATCATTTTAAACAAATAAACTTAAGTTTTAAAACGTTGCATTCATTGTTTATTTTTTTGAGTTCCCCTGTCTGTTTGACGCATGTTGAGTTGAGCCTACTGAGTTGAGTTTCTTGGGCCAAAGTGGTGAATTTTGTCCGTGTTTTTGGGGCTTGCCTTAGAGGCTCCTTCTCTGTTTCGTTCGCTCCGCATCGCCCTCTCTCGCTCGCTCAGGTGGTACTGCTTTTATGGTTTCGGTTACGAAAGGTTCTTAAATTCACGGCAAGCCGAAATGATCTTTCTCTTATCTGACATGTTTGATCAAACTTCACTGGGTTGGGTTGCC